AAGCCTCAATCACAGCTGTCAGGAAACATGCTAGGATAGTGTCCAAGCCTCAATCACAGCTGTCAGGAAACACACTAGCATAGTGTCCAAGTCTCAATCACAGCTGTCAGGAAACATGCTAGGATAGTGTCCAAGCCTCAGTCACAGCTGTCAGGAAACACACTAGCATAGTGTCCAAGCATCAATCACAGCTGTGGGGAAACATGCTAGCATAGTGTCCAAGCCTCAGTCACAGCTGTCAGGAAACATGCTAGGATAGTGTCCAAGCCTCAATCACAGCTGTCAGGAAACATGCTAGCATAGTGTCCAAGCCTCAGTCACAGCTGTCAGGAAACATGCTAGCATAGTGTCCAAGCCTCAATCACAACTGTGGGGAAACACGCTAGGATAGTGTCCAAGCCTCAGTCACAGCTGTCAGGAAACATGCTAGCATAGTGTCCAAGCCTCAGTCACAGCTGTCAGGAAACATGCTAGCATAGTGTCCAAGCCTCAGTCACAGCTGTGGGGAAACATGCTAGCATAGTGTCCAAGCCTCAGTCACAGCTGTGGGGAAACACGCTAGCATAGTGTCCAAGCCTCAGTCACAGCTGTCAGGAAACATGCTAGCATAGTGTCCAAGCCTCAATCACAGCTGTCAGGAAACATGCTAGCATAATGTCCAAGCCTCAGTCACAGCTGTCAGGAAACATGCTAGCATAGTGTCCAAGCCTCAGTCAAAGCTGTCAGGAAACATGCTAGCATAGTGCCCAAGCCTCAATCACAGCTGTCAGGAAACATGCTAGCATAGTGTCCAAGCCTCAGTCACAGCTGTCAGGAAACATGCTAGCATAGTGTCCAAGCCTCAGTCACAGCTGTGGGGAAACACGCTAGCATAGTGTCCAAGCCTCAGTCACAGCTGTCAGGAAACATGCTAGCATAGTGTCCAAGCCTTAATCACAGCTGTCAGGAAACAGACTAGGATAGTGTCCAAGCCTCAGTCACAGCTGTCAGGAAACATACTAGGATAGTGTCCAAACCTCAATCACAGCTGTCAGGAAACATGCTAGGATAGTGTCCAAGCCTCAATCACAGCTGTCAGGAAACAGACTAGGATAGTGTCCAAGCCTCAGTCACAGCTGTCAGGAAACATGCTAGCATAGTGTCCAAGCCTCAGTCACAGCTGTCAGGAAACATGCTAGCATAGTGTCCAAGCCTCAATCACAGCTGTCAGGAAACATGCTAGCATAGTGTCCAAGGCTCAGTCACAGCTGTGGGGAAACATGCTAGCATAGTGTCCAAGCCTCAGTCACAGCTGTCAGGAAACATGCTAGCATAGTGTCCAAGCCTCAATCACAGCTGTCAGGAAACATACTAGGATAGTGTCCAAGCCTCAATCACAGCTGTGGGGAAACACGCTAGGATAGTGTCCAAGCCTCAGTCACAGCTGTCAGGAAACATGCTAGCATAGTGTCCAAGCCTCAATCACAGCTGTCAGGAAACATGCTAGCATAGTGTACAAGCCTCAGTCACAGCTGTCAGGAAACATGCTAGCATAGTGTCCAAGCCTCAGTCACAGCTGTCAGGAAACATGCTAGCATAGGGTCCAAGCCTCAGTCACAGCTGTGGGGAAACACGCTAGGATAGTGTCCAAGTCTCAACCACAGCTATCAGGAAACATACTAGGATAGTGTCCAAGCCTCAATCACAGCTGTGGGGAAACACGCTAGGATAGTGTCCAAGCCTCAGTCACAGCTGTCAGGAAACATGCTAGCATAGTGTCCAAGCCTCAGTCACAGCTGTCAGGAAACATGCTAGGATAGGGTCCAAGCCTCAGTCACAGCTGTCAGGAAACATGCTAGCATAGTGTCCAAGCCTCAGTCACAGCTGTCAGGAAACATGCTAGCATAGTGTCCAAGCCTCAGTCACAGCTGTCAGGAAACATGCTAGCATAGTGTCCAAGCCTCAGTCACAGCTGTCAGGAAACATGCTAGCATAGTGTCCAAGCCTCAGTCATAGCTGTCAGGAAACATGCTAGCATAGTGTCCAAGCCTCAGTCACAGCTGTCAGGAAACATGCTAGCATAGTGTCCAAGCCTCAATCACAGCTGTCAGGAAACATACTAGGATAGTGTCCAAGCCTCAATCACAGCTGTCAGGAAACATGCTAGGATAGTGTCCAAACCTCAATCACAGCTGTCAGGAAACAGACTAGGATAGTGTCCAAGCCTCAATCACAGCTGTCAGGAAACATGCTAGGATAGTGTCCAAGCCTCAATCACAGCTGTCAGGAAACACACTAGCATAGTGTCCAAGTCTCAATCACAGCTGTCAGGAAACATGCTAGGATAGTGTCCAAGCCTCAGTCACAGCTGTCAGGAAACACACTAGCATAGTGTCCAAGCATCAATCACAGCTGTGGGGAAACATGCTAGCATAGTGTCCAAGCCTCAGTCACAGCTGTCAGGAAACATGCTAGGATAGTGTCCAAGCCTCAATCACAGCTGTCAGGAAACATGCTAGCATAGTGTCCAAGCCTCAGTCACAGCTGTCAGGAAACATGCTAGCATAGTGTCCAAGCCTCAGTCACAGCTGTGGGGAAACATGCTAGGATAGGGTCCAAGCCTCAGTCACAGCTGTCAGGAAACATGCTAGCATAGTGTCCAAGCCTCAATCACAGCTGTCAGGAAACATGCTAGGATAGTGTCCAAGCCTCAGTCACAGCTGTGGGGAAACATACTAGCATAGTGTCCAAGCCTCAGTCACAGCTGTCAGGAAACACGCTAGGATAGTGTCCAAGCCTCAATCACAGCTGTCAGGAAACATGCTAGCATAGTGTCCAAGCCTCAGTCACAGCTGTCAGGAAACATGCTAGCATAGTGTCCAAGCCTCAGTCACAGCTGTCAGGAAACATACTAGGATAGTGTCCAAGCCTCAATCACAGCTGTCAGGAAACATACTAGGATAGTGTCCAAGCCTCAATCACAGCTGTCAGGAAACATACTAGCATAGTGTCCAAGCCTCAGTCACAGCTGTCAGGAAACTTGCTAGCATAGTGTCCAAGCCTCAATCACAGCTGTCAGGACACATACTAGGATAGTGTCCAAGCCTCAGTCACAGCTGTGGGGAAACATACTCAGACAGAGAAAGGAGAAACAATGTAGATAAAGTCAGGACTACTTATTTGGAAAAAAATATACTAGTTACAAACTTTGGAAGTCCAAGAACAGAAAAATATACAAAGAGTAACATTAAGTGTGAAAACTACAAAAGCAACCTAGAATTTTAAGGATACAGTGTACTTGTATACCAACTGGACTCAACTCCACTGGCTGCTCTTCTCAGGGTGGCCTGGAAACTTATCTCTTAGGTTTTTCTGTTTCTCTGCCAGTCCAGAAGGCCCTGAAACTCATTAGCTCGAAGTGTTAATCATATGTTCATTGACAACAGATGAAACGCACAACGCAGTAAGAAAATGCCTTCCCATAACAAAGGATAGTCATTAATACACAGTGGACCTAAAAATCAAGTTTTAAAGTACTCAACAGTAAAAGAGGGGGAAACCCAGAAACACAGCAAATATACAGATAAACTCTGGATATTTGCACAAGGATAACATGTTCGTAGAAGGAGGTTGTCCTAGAGACAACGCCCCACTGTGTGTGCACGTGTCGGTCGTGGGGCTCGGCCTCCGCCCCCTGCACGGTCACTCAGGGCTGACCCACCACCACTTGAGGCGTGGCTCCACTAAGGCTTTTTTTTCTACTACAAGATGCACCTTTTCTTTCTTTCATAGCTCTGGAATGAGGATGACCACTAAGGCATTTTGCTGGCTAATTGAAGATAGAATCGCTTAGCTTTTTTGGCCCAGGATGGCTTCAAGCCTCAGTCCTCACATTTTACCATTCTGAGTAGCTAGGGTTATAGATGTAAGGCACTGGCACCCAGCTGCATTATTAATTATTAAAAAGGAATTTCCTTTTTTTGTTTTGTTTTGGGCCAGTCCTGGGACTTGAACCCAGAGCTTGGGCATAGTCCCTAAAGTTATTTTGCTCAAGGATAGCACTGTACCAATTGAGCCAGAGTGACACAGCTTTTTTGGTAGTTTAGTGGAGATAAGAATCTCACAGATTTTCCTGCCCAGTCTGGCTCCAAACTGTGAACCTTAGATCTCAACCTCCTGAGTAGCTAGAATTATAAGAGTGACCTAATAGCACCTGGCTACAATCCTTTTATTTATTTTGTCGTGGGGCTTAAGCTGGGAGTTTGGGCACTGTCTATGAGCTCTTTTGCTCAAGGGTAGCACTCTACCACTTCAGCCACAGAGTCACTTCTGATTTTCTTGTGGTTAACTGGAGATAAGAGTCTCACAGACTTTCCCCTGATCTGGCTTTGAACTGCAGTCCTCAGATCTCAGCTTCCTGAGTAGCTAGGGTTACAGGCATGAGCCACCAGCACCTGGCTCCAATTTGCTTCTTATTTTACTTTTTTGTCCCAGTCCTGGGGCTTGAACTCAGGGTCTGAGGGCTGTCCCTAAGCCTTTTCTTCTACTACTTGAGTCACAGCTCTACTTCCAGCTTTTTTTTTTTTTTTTTTGAGTAATTTATTGGACATAAGACTCTCACTGACTTTCCTGCCTGGTCTGGTTTTGACCTGCGATCCTCAGATCTCAGCCTCTTGAGTAGCTAGGATTATAAGCATGAGCCACCAGTGCCCAGCTTCCTAGACTTTTATTCTAAGAGTTTGGCCAGAACTGTGTCCAAATAAATGGGCAGCAGAAGCACTTTGTGCTGAGCAGTGCAGGCCTCCCTCACCGTATGGGAATGCGAAATCTCCCAGGAACAGAGCCAGCCTCTTGTGACTGCAAGTGAGACCAGCCTTCTAACCTGTGTTCCCTGGGTATATGAAGTGTGGCTTCTAGCAGAGCCCCTCCTGAGACTGCAGAGAGCACGTGGCCACACAGGACATTTCAGGAAGAACCCTCCTAGCTGGCAGGAAGCGGGGGAGCGCGCGCTGGGTACTGACCACGACCGGGGGGCAGCAGGCCACTCAGGTAGGGGAAGCTCGCTCTCCTCAGCTCATCCAGCTTCTCCTGCAGCTTGCGCACCTGGCTGTCGGAGCGGCTGACCCTCTGCCGAAGACTCTTCAGCTCGCCATTCTTCTTTTCCACCTGCTCCCTCAGGCAGCACACCTGGCTCTTGTTCTGCCGGGAGGAGAAGCAGTAGGAGTGCAGGGAGTCGATGAGCTTGCAGGCCCCGGATGCCGACAGGATAACCTCATTGATGGACATGGGGCTAGCATCACTGTGCTCGCTCTGCACTGCTTCTGCGGCTGGCTTCGGGGTGACATCGTTTGGAGGGGCAGAGGAGCTCTGAGAAGGCTTCTGAGGTGTTGCTGTGAGTGACGAGGTGGGGGGGCTCTGGGCCACACTCTTGTCAGGCCCCAGGTTATTCCCGCTGCAGCTTGGCTCCACATCTCTCTTCGGTCTCTTTCGGTCTATAGGGTCTCGAGGGACAGATGGCCTCTCTCGAGTGTGCTTGGAGGAGAAACTGTAAGAATGAAGAGAGCCTATGAACTTGCAAGCCCCGGACCCTGGCGGGGTAAAGTCGTCCTTGGAAATGCCACTCTTGTCTGCTCCGCTCACGTCCGCCAGGGACGTGGCATTCTGATGGCCCGCCTCTGCCTGGCTGCCTACCACTGGAGTGATCATCCTAGCTCCTGGAGTTCTTTCCAAAGACTGCTGCTCCTGCTCCCAACGGACAGCCTCTGTGGCGGCCTCAGGTGTGGTGTCACCGTGCAGGGCTGGTCGCTTCAGCTTGCCTGACTCTGGCTTGGCCATTGGATTTTCACCAGAGGACGAGGACCCTGCGCCTCCTTTCCCAGCTGTGCTGTTTGTGGGTCCCCTCACGCTCGCCGAGGCCTTGCTGGTGTCCTTCCTTCCAGTTCGGCCATGGCCTCCAGCCCCTCTCTTCTTCTCTGAGAGATGGAAGATGGAGGGTACCGCGGTGGGCTTGAGTAGGCGGTGCTGGTCCTCCAGCCTTTTGGAAAAGCTGTCTTTGGTGAAATGTTCGCTACAGAGGAATGAGTACTTAGTGGGGGTCCAGTTATCCCTCTGAACAGCTTTTAACCACTGGATCAGGCGTTTTGAGTCCTTTAAGGGGAACCTGTGGGACACAAATAATTAGAAATTACTAAATGTTTCTCCCTGGTGAATAACAACGAATATGGTCAAAGACATTCATCTGAATTCTGAAAACAAAACAATGAAACCTATTGAAACTCTTAAGAAGGGTGAAGAGGGTAAGGGAGAGTTTTAGAACGGGTGGGTTTTGGGGGGGATACGCGGTCTGTACATATAAAAATATCACCATGAGGAAGTGGCGCTGTGGCTCAAGTGGTAGAGCACTCACCTTGAGCTGAAGAGCGCAGGCCCAGAGTTCAAGCCCCGTGACCGACCAAAAAAAATCACCCTGAATCTTCCTTGTACATTAATGTATACTAGTAAAATCCTGACTCCTAAAACTACCAACTATAAAATTGGAACAAGTATTTCTTGCAAGCATCTAAACTTATATTGACTTCATTTGCTTCAAGATAATTTAAGGACATTAAAACCATCTTCTATTGCAAGTCATTACTGGAATGGAAAGAAAGAGGGAAGACCTCTGTTACCCTGGAGGAGCCCAAATCTGCAGGGCAGATAGGAGCGAAGCATAAGGGTCTTCCTGGCGGTGGCAAATGAGTACAGAGGATACAAAGAGGCAGGATAGTGTCTGGACAACAGGAAATAACTCCGAGAAGCTGACCAGTGATTGGCCCTTGTAGTACCTAGAAGGCAGGGCTATGGGCATTAAAACCAGGACTGCTGACCCCCCCTGCTGGGAAGCCAGGAAGTGACTACCAGAGATGGGATCAAGAAGCTAGGGAAACATCCCAGGTGTCCAGTCTGGTGCCAGCCCTAGCTGTGGCCCAGGAAGCTGAGCACATGGAACCAGCTCCAGACAACGACTCAGAAGCTGTAGTTCCTTGATCCTCTGTGCTCCCACCACAAGACTCTCCCAGGCCGGGTAAAGTATAGGGACATTATATATGTGCGTGTGCGTGTATGTATACACACATTTTATACAATAAGCCAGTCACAAGTGGATAAATACTACATGTACTCCAACAAACACAGTAGGGTACCTATATAGGCTACTGAGAGCAGTCAAGTTTATATAGACAATCTAGAACAGTTGTTGGGGGTGGGAAGCAGGGGAGGGGAAGTTGGGGTAATGATGAATAGGAACAAGAGTTTCAACTTCCTAAGATAAAAAGAGTTATAGGAATAGATGGTGGTGATAGTTACTCAATAATATGCATGCACATAGTCCCATGAACTGTATACCAAAAATGTTTAGGAGCTGGGCACCAGTGGCTCATACCTGTAATCCTAGCTACTCAGGAGTCTGAGGTCTGAAGATCACAGTTTCAAGCCAGCCTGGGCAGGTAAATCCATGAAAGTCTCTCCCTCCACCCCTCGCCCCCCCCCCACACCCCCCAGTCCTGGGGCTTGAAATCTGGGCCTGCTAAGTGCTCTACCACTTGAACCACAGAGTGACTTCTGCTTTTTTCTGAGTAACTTACTGGTCATAAGTCTCACACACTTTCCTGCCTAAGCTGGCTTTGAACCGGGCTCCTCAGGTCTCAGCCTCCTAGGATGACAGGCCCAGGAGATTCTAATCTCCAATTAACTACTAAAAAGCAAGAAGTGGACCAGTGGCTCAAGTGGTAGAGCACTAGCCTTGAGCAGTAAAAGCCCAGGGACAGTGCCCAGGCCCTGTGAGTTCAAGCCCCAGGACTGTCACCACAAAGTAAGGGACTGGAGGTGTGGTTCAACTGTTGAGCGCCGGCCTAGTAAGGGCAAGAATTTTATGCTGTGTCTTACGCCACAATTAACTAGCCTCTTGAGAGTCTGGGTGTCTTTTCTTCCTGATTATCAAGAAAGATAATGTAGTGATCTCGTATTCGGAGAGACAGGATGTGTACTGGAGACGGCTCAGACCCCACTGCATGCTGGGGAGGCGGGCAGGGGTCCCGGAGGGGAGGGGGGGCAGGGGTCCCGGCCAGGGGAGGGAGGGGAGGCAGGGGTCCCGGCGGGGGAAGGGAGGGGGGGCAGGGGTCCCGGCGGGGGAAGGGGGGGCGGGCAGGGGTCCCGGCCAGGGGAGGGAGGGGGGCAGGGGTCCCGGCGGGGGAAGGGAGGGGGGGCAGGGGTCCCGGCGGGGGAAGGGGGGGGGCAGGGGTCCCGGCGGGGGGAGGGGGGGCAGGGGTCCCGGCCAGGGGAGGGAGGGGGGCAGGGGTCCCGGAGGGGAGGGGGGGCGGGCAGGGGTCCCGGCGGGGGGAGGGGGGGCAGGGGTCCCGGCGGGGGGAGGGAGGGGGGGCAGGGGTCCCGGCCGGGGGAGGGGGGCGGGCAGGGGTCCCGGAGGGGAGGGAGGCGGGCAGGGGTCCCGGAGGGGAGGGGGGGCGGGCAGGGGTCCCGGAGGGGAAGGGAGGGGGGCGGGCAGGAGTCCCGGAGGGGAGGGGGGGCGGGCAGGGGTCCCGGAGGGGAGGGGGGCGGGCAGGGGTCCCGGAGGGGAGGGAGGGGGGCAGGGGTCCCGGAGGGGAGGGAGGGGGGCAGGGGTCCCGGCAAGGGGAGGGGGGCGGGCAGGGGTCCCGGCAAGGGGAGGGGAGGGGGCAGGGGTCCCGGCCGGGGGAGGGGGGGCGGGCAGGGGTCCCGGAGGGGAAGGGAGGGCGGGCAGGGGTCCCGGCCGGGGGAGGGGGGGCGGGCAGGGGTCCCGGCAAGGGGAGGGAGGGGGGGCGGGCAGGGGTCCCGGCCGGGGGAGGGGGGGCGGGCAGGGGTCCCGGAGGGGAGGGAGGGGGGCAGGGGTCCCGGAGGGGAGGGAGGGGGCCGGGCCCCGGCCGGGGGACCCCTCTCCGCGCGAGCCCCACCGCGGCCTCCCCGCCCGGGGCCCGGCCCGTTGTAGGGCCCGCGGCCGCGTTCTCCAGAGCAGCGCCGGGCGCGCGGGGCCGTCGGGGCGCGGGGCGCGGCCGCGGGCCCACGCCGAGAACTTCCCCGGACGGCGCGCGCCGGCGCCCGGCTCGGGAACTTACTGCCCGGCCGCGGCGCCAGCGCTCCGTGCCGCGGCTCGCAGGGCGCCCGGCCCGCCCGGCCTGCTCGGCCCGGCCCGGCCCGGCCCGGCCCCGGCGCGGGCGGCGGACTCCGCCGGCCGCCGAGGCAGGAAGTGGAGCCGCGCCCGCGGGACCACCGCGCCGCCCGCGCCGGGGCCCCGAGCCCGGGAGGGCCGGTCCCCCGCGGACGCGCCCCGCGCCCGATCGCGCTGCGGGGCCGGGGGGACCCGCCACGGGGGCCGGGCGGGCCTGGGACGGGGCCCGGCCGCCGCGGGAGTTGAGCGGCGTCCCGGGGGCCTCCCGGCGGCCCCACCGCCCGCGGCGCCCGGCTCAGAGACGGCGGCCGGGCCAAGGTCACACAGCGCCGGGCCCGGCTCGGGGCCCCCGGCCCCGGAGGCCGGCGCGCGGCCTCAGTTTCCCCGCGGGCCCGGCGGGCCGCGGCGGGGGCGTGGCGGGCCGCGTACCTGTGGAAGGAGACGGCGCGCTTCTCGCCCTTGCCCTGCCGGTTGGAGCAGTTCGCGGCCGCGCAGCAGATCACCATCGCGGGCTCCGGCCCAGCGCGCCGCCGGGCTCTGGCCCTCGCCGCCCGCCCGCCCGCCCGCCGGCCCGGCCCGCCCCGAGGGAGCGCGGCGACACGGCTCGGGACGTGGGTCGCGGCTGCGCCGTACGGCAAGATGGCGGCGCGCGGCCGCCCGCCGCGGGCGGCGCCCGGGCGGCCGGGGCTCGGCGCGGGGCCGCGGGGCGGCGCGGCGGCGGCGGCGGCGGGCGGGCGGCGGGGCGGGCGGGCGCGGGAGCCGCCCCGAGGCCGAGTGCGTCTGGCGGCATGCGCGAGCGGCCGTCCGTACGACAAGATGGCCGCGCCCGCCCGGCCGAGCCCGTCGCGCCGGCCGGGCCCCGGGGTCCTCGGAGGGGCGCGGCGCCGCACCGGGCGCCGGGTCCCGTCAGGGAGGCCGCGGCCCCGCCTCGAGCCTCCGGCGGCCGGCCCCGCCTCTGCCGGCCCCGCCTCTGCCGCCGCGCCGCCGTACGCCGCGATGGCGGCGCCCGCGCTTCCGCCGCCCGCGCCCGGTCCTCGCGCGCTTGGCCCCCGCGGCTTTCCGTCGCCGCGTCGCCCGGCGGCCTGTCGGGGCGACGCCGGGGTCAGTCCGCGGCCGGCCGGCGAAGATGGACGCAGGTGAGGAGGGCGGGGAGCGGGCCCGCGCCGCGGCGCCCCGGGGCCCCGAGCCCCGGCCCCCGCCCCGCCCCGCCGCCCGAGGCTCGCGGGGCCCGCGCCGGCGGCGGAGCTCGCGGAGGGCGCCTGGGACGGCCGGTCGGGCCGCCTCTCCGCGCCGCCGGCGCCCCTCGGTCCTCCCGGCCCGGCGCGGGCAGGGCGGCCGGCCTGCGGGCCTCAGGCGCCCCGGGCCTCGCGGCTGTGGCTGCCGGGCGCGCGCAAGGGCCCGGCCGGCCGAGCGGAGCCGGGGAGCGCCGTAACTCGGTGGAAGTTGTCCGTCGCGGCTCCACCTCTTGTTGTTACATTCAACCACCTGCCGCCAACCCGGGCGTCGTCTGCGGCCGGCGGAGCTGCGGGGCCGCCCGCACTCCGCGCGCCCCGCCCGGCCCGGCCCGGCCCGGCCGCCCGCACCCCGCCCGGCCCGGCCCGGCCCGGCCCGGCTGCCCGCACTCCGCGCGCCCCGCCCGGCCCGGCCCGGCCCGGCTGCCCGCACTCCGCGCGCCCCGGCCTCCCCGGCCCGGCCCGGCCCGGCCCGGCTGCCCGCACCCCGCCCGGCCCGGCCCGGCTGCCCGCACCCCGCCCGGCCCGGCCCGGCTGCCCGCACTCCGCGCGCCCCGCCCGGCCCGGCCCGGCTGCCCGCACTCCGCGCGCCCCGCCCGGCCCGGCCCGGCCCAGCCCGGCCGCCCGCACTCCGCCCGCCCCGGCCTCCCCGGCCCGGCCCGGCCCGGCCCGGCCGCCCGCACTCCGCCCGCACTCCGCCCGGCCCGGCCCGGCCCGGCCCGGCCGCCCGCACTCCGCGCGCTCCGGGCCGGGAGGCCGGCGAGACGGGGCCGGGACGCGGCGCGGAGAGGCGGCCGGACCGGCCGTCCGCGAGCTCCGCCCGCTGCATTCGCCTTTGCCGGCGGACACTCGGGAGGTGCGGGTCCGTGCCAGGCGCGCCGCCGCGGGCCCCGGTCGGGGTCGGAGTGCGTGGGGGGCGGGGGCTCCCCGCGCCCGGCCGGGCCGCGCGTGTGCTCAGACCGCGTGGGGAGCGCGGCCGCCGGGGCTGCGGGTTGGGCACCAGACGCCGTGTTGCTGGGCCTTGGGCTGGAAGAAGGCTTGCAGCCCTTTGCTCGTCTACTTTTTAGGCATCGGTGTATGCGTACCCAAGGCTATTCCTAGGAGAGAAACGGGCGGGTGCATCCGTCGTGTTACCAAATTTCACGTAAATGTAAATGCTACGAACACAACCACGTGGTCACTTGATAATACTCCAGGAGTACTTGTAGGATCAAAGTAGGAAAGAAGTTTGGGTTTTTAGGCCTGTGTTGTTGCTGATTAAAACATTTGAGGAAGTGGGCACTGGTGACTCCCGCCTGTAATCCTAGCCACCCGGAGCCTGAGGTCTGAGGATGGAGATTCAAAGCCAGCCGGGGCTAGAACTTTCATAGGACACTTTACCTCCAATAAGCCACTCAGAAAAAGCTGGAAGTGGCAGTGCCGCTCAAGTGGTAGAGCACCAGCCTTGAGCAAATGCTGCTCAGAGACCCTGGCGCCAAAGTCAAGCCCTAAGAGGGGCATCCAAAAAAGAAAGAAAGAGAAAGGGCGTTTTTAGGGCAGGGGTGGAGAACCTCTGACTGGGATGTGTTAGGCCGCAGAAATCATTTGGTACAGGAAGGGACAGATAGAAGGTTTCTATCAGCCACCAGAGGCTGCCTGCCTAAACTGATTATTTTGTATGACTCAGGAAGGATGTTGTAAATAGACAAATGGCTTTTGGCAGAAAAAAGGTTTCCCACTGGTTTAAGAGTTTGATGGGATGATTTTCCTTCTGACATAATGCTGAATATCCTTTTATGGTCCATCTTCCCTTGATCCCTGGAGTCCTTGAAGATTGTTTTCTTCCAGCACGTGTGGTTCTTATAAATGCTCATTCCATAAGCTACATCTATTATTGACTGCCAAGTATATGTGCCAGACATTGTTCTAGGCCCAAGGACTAGAGAAATGGACAAAATAAGCCAGGCACCAGTGGTTCATACCTATAATCCTCTCTACTCAAGGTGACTGAGATCTGAGGCTCAAGGTGAAGCTAGCCTGGGCAGGAAAGTTCCCGGGACTCTTATCTCCAATGAACTGCCCAAAAGCTGGAAATGGAGCTAGCTGTGATAGAGTCCCAGCCTAAGCAAAAGAAGCTCAGGGACAGTGCCTAGGCCCTGAGTTCAAGCTCCGGGACCAGTACCAGAAAAGAAAAAAGAAGTGCAGAGAACACTGGTCATGTCATCATCCTGTCCCTGGCGGACAGGCGTGAGAGGTACTGTAGGACCTGCAGTAGTAGATTGGAAATGTAGCCGTGATGGCTAGGAAAGGTCTCATTTTGGCTTTTTGTTTGTTTTTGTCGGTTGTGGGCTTGAACTCTAGTCTGGACGCTGTCCCTCAGCTCTTCAGCTCAAGGCTAGCGCTCTACCACTTGAGCCACAGCGCCACTTCTGGTTTTCTGATGGTTCATCGGAAATAAGAGTCTCACAGAGTTTCCTGCCTGTGCTGGCTTTGAACTGCAATCTCAGATCTCAGCCTCCTGAGTAGCTAGTATTACAGACGTGGGCCACCCGTGCCTGGCTTAAGGTCTCATTTTGAAGGTTACATTCTGACCAAGACCCAGCAATGGTGCCGGAGGAAGGGCAAGTAGACTGATTGAGGAGCATCGGGGGTGAGTGTGCCCAAGTCCAGAGACCCCCGTTACCGGAAGCTGGAGTGGAGGGTGGCCGCCTGATCCTTCGGAAGGTGCTGAGAAGAGAAGCAACATTATTAGACTGAGGTGTGGCTTGCTCTCTCTGGAGACTGTCTGGCAGAGGCCAGGTCAGAAGCGTGGAGGCCAGGGAGGCGGCCAAAGAGAGTTAATTAGGGTGGAGAGAGGCTTGCCTTCTTATTGTGTGGGTAAGGCCCAGGCTATCGGAGTTGTTTACAGGTTGGAAGCTGAGGGAAGGGTAGAAACAGTGAAAGAAAGCAAGATTTCATAACTGAGCTGAGAAACTTGGATGAGGAGGCCCTGCTCGATGGAGAACTGCCCGGGCTTTGGTTTTGTGTGTGATGAATATGAGTTGATGGCATGTACAAGTATTGGTTCCATAGGCTTGAAGCTAAGAGAATAGGCGAATGGGAGACGTGTGCAGGGTGCTACGTCAGATGAGGTCGCTTCGGATCCGAGTGTGGGCAGGGAAGGAGCCCAGGGCTGCTGATGTGCAAGGTGGCAGGCAGATACAGTTCGGTTGTGTTTTCTACCCATCCCCAGCGCTGTTTTTAGAAACAGTCTCCTGATTCTAAGAGCCACTCTGGCCAAGACCTAAGGAGCTACACTGTCTATCCTTGGGAACAAATCCTGTGTCTGATGCTTACATCTCCCATGCTCTGTCACATCGTGTCTGTCCTGAGTGGTAGTTGGTGAGGCGGAACTTCAGTGAACAACTTAATTATTCCCTACTACATGTTGAGCATTTCTAGTTCAGACATTCAAAATCCAAAAGCCTCCAAAATCTAAAGCTTTTAGTGCTGACCTGATGTCATAAATGGAAAAACTGTACACCTGAGCTCACATGACAAATTGCTGGAAATGTAGCATCCTCCACCCTGCAAAAGAGAAAGAAATATAGACAGACACTGACTATCTTTAGGCATTCACCCCAGCATTTGGGATATAAAGACAAGAGCGTCACAAATTCAGCCTGGACCATACAGCAAGATCATGTCTCAACAAAACAAAATACCCCACAATCATACTAAAAGTATTTTTATAAAATTACTTAGGCTGTCTATATAGATATAGATAAAACATAAATGAATCTTATGCTCAGATTTCTGACGTATTCCCAAGATATAGCTATACAAATATTTTGAAAATCTGGTCCTAAACATTTTGGATAAAGTAACAGCCTGTACAAGAATTGTAGTTCGTGGGCTGGGAAGGTGGCTCAGCGGTAGAGCGCTTGCCTTGCATGCATGAGGCCCTGGGTTCGATTCCTCAGCACCATATAAACAGAAAAAGCTGGAAGTGGTGTTGTGGCTCCAGTGGTAGAGCGCTAGCCTTGAGCTGAAGAGCTGAGGGACAACACCCAGACCCAGTGTTCAGGCCCCACGACCGGCAAAAAGAAAAAAAGAAAAAAAGAATTGTAGTTCTTAGAGCTGATACAAAATGTAAATCTAGTCTGTTAGCATAAGATATTAATGACTGAGGCTGTTTGCTACAGAGCAGTGGGTTTTAATGTGGACATTCTGTCCAGCCTCTTCATCAAAGCAGTGTTTTCTAGTTTCTTGACTTTTAACCAAAATTTTGATCTCCTACATGCAATCTGTGGTGTGTGTGTGTGTGTGTTGTGTGTCTGTGTGTGTGTGTGTGTGTGTGTGTGTGTTTTGTTGGTCATGAGGCCTGAACTCTGGGCCTGGGCGCTGTCCCTCAGCTCTTCAGCTCAAGGCTAGTGCTCTTGGCTTCTGCCCTTTAAATGCAGCCATATTAGCCGGGCCCTGGTGGCTCACGCCTGTAATCCTAGCTACTCAGGAGGCTGAGATCTGAGGATCGCGGTTCAAAGCCAGCCCGGGCAGGAGAGACCGTGAGACTCCTATCTCCAATAAACCACCAGAAAACCGGAAGTGGCGCTGTAGCTCAAGTGGTAGAGGGCTCGCCTTGAGCTGAAGAGCTGAAGGACAGCGCCCAGGCCCAGAGTTCAAGCCCCACGGCCGACCAAAAAAAAAAAAAAAAAAAAATGCAGCCATATTGGGCTGGTCGCTAGTGGCTCACGCCTGTCATCCTAGCTACTGAGGAGGCTGAGATATGAGGATCACGGTTCAAACCCAGCCCTGGCAGGAGAGTCCGTGAGACTTATCTCCAATTAACCACCAGAAAACCGGAAGTGGTGCTGTGGCTCAAGTGATTAGTGTTCACCTTGAGCTGAAAAGCTGAGGAACAGACCCAGGGCCAGAGTTCAAGCCCCACGACTTACCTCTCTCCCCCCAAAAAATGCAGCTATGTCTTTTTTAAGCAAAATTATATATAGTTGAATTTGTTTTTTCTTTTTTTTTTTTTTGTTGGTCGTGGGGCTTGAACTCTGGGCCTGGGCACTGTCCCTCAGCTCTTCAGCTCAAGGCAAGCTCTCTACCACTTGAGCTACAGCGCCACTTCCGGTTTTCTGGTGGTTTATTGGAGATAGGAGTCTCATGGTCTCTCCTGCCCGGGCTGGCTTTGAACCGCGATCCTCAGATCTCAGCCTCCTGAGTAGCTAGGATTACAGGCGTGAGCCACCAGAGCCCGGCTGAATTTGTTTTTTCTAAAAATTGACATTTGTTCAGTTCTTCTTTGCATTGTACTAGTGGTCAACACTTCTGAGTTTGGGGACAGAATGTAGTCCTTCCACACTGTGTCCTAACTCATCACCACGGCGGGCCCAGAAGGCACGGTTAGTGCGCTCTCAGTGGGTCACGGCTCCTCTCCCCCAGCCTTGTTAGGAAAGCGCAGTTGTTTCCATCTCACCAGGGAGGGAACTGAGGCACAAAAATGTTACTTGTAGGAATCATTCTTGATGGCGTCTGGTTCTATGACTAGGGATGCCTTCAAGTCTGTGATGTACAGATGCTTGCGCTCACAGTTTCCTGTGGGCCCTGAGGTGGGTGTGGTGGGAGGAGCCTGTGGGCGGCACACAGCATGGCTGCCACTGAGGCAGATGTGACTGACCCCGGGGAGGGCATGACCCCGGGGGAGGGCAGGGGGGAGGTCTGCTTAGTTCTTTCCACGTGCAACAGAGAGGGGCAACATTGGGTGCTGCTGCTTTGTGACTCCTGTGAAGCTGGCAGTAGCAAAACTTTATGGTTGCACTCCCTGGGTATTTCTTCATCCCCAAGCTGGCTGTTGGTTAATAGTGCTGCACAACCCGTAATTTTCATGGTTACAGTGGGAGATTTGGCAATGTATTTGAAGTTAATGGAATGCCTCTTATTATTTTCACTCTGAAGTTGGCTTCCTCAACTATAACATTTGCTAATAAACCTAAGAAATTTGCATGTTCTGCATTTTGCTGCTTTGGTGGTAGAGAGTCTCAATTGCAAAGCTGCTCAGGCATTAAGACCTTACTTTCAGAGTGAGTCTTTTTTTCTCTGCTTTCTTGTCCACTAGTGTTCTTCCCTATCTATCTATCTATCTATCTATCTATCTATCTATCTGTCTGTCTGTCTGTCTGTCTGTCTGTCTGTCTGTCTATCTACCTGTCTGTCTGTCTGTCTGTCTACCTATATCTGTAGCATGGAAAACCGAGTTATCAGAAAACTCTTCATCTGTTTCCTTGTCTGATTCTAGCTAATAAGTGTTTATTGACTCAGCAATGTGGTCCTTTTTTTTTTTTTTGTCGGTCGTGGGGCTTGAACTCTGAGCCTGGGTGCTGAACTCTGGGCCTGGGCACTGTCCCTCAGCTCTTCAGCTCAAGGCGAGTGCCCTACCACTTGAGCCACAGCGCCACTTCCAGCTTTTTCTACTTATGTAGTGCTGAGGAATTGAACCCAGGGCCTCATGCATTCGAGGCAAGCGCTCTACCACTGAGCCACCTTCCCAGCCCCATGGTCCTTAATGGCAGGTTTCTTCACCTCTCTAGGGATTCCAGGTAGGAAACCCTGATTGATTCCTTGAAATGGCCTCAGATCTGAGGAGAGTATTCCAACAATATGGCATTGCTCTCCTGCAGTATTGTTAGTTGACATTCCACAGGGTTGCTTTATCCTTTTCCCTTCTGGGTCCTGTCAATTGGATAAAACCCAGAAACCAATGAATAGCAGTGCTTTCTGAAGACCAGAGGTAGCTTTACAGGGCCAGGGGTATCATGACGTTTTCCAGTGTCTTGGAAAGATAAGATAGGCATGGACTTTAATTCATTCCAACTTAGCTTTTATAATCATGTGCAGAAATAATGGTATGTAAAAGCCAAGAGGGATAAAATTGAACTTTATTCAAGGTGACTGAGCAGCATGGTTGGCATGTTTTTGAGAGTAGACAGGGGTGATGTGTAAGAGCAGAGTTCTAGGATGGTGCACACAGCTGTGCTGCAGAGCTCCCGCAGAGCTCCTGATGCCCACTACGGGTAGACCGCCCTCCCTCTATGGTTGGGGGTGTCTGCAGAGCCCCTCATGCCCTCTACGGGTAGACCACCCTCCCTCTATGGTTGGGGGTGTCTGCAGTACTTCCGAGTCTGTGACTGGAAAGTAGCTGCATACAATTAAACTTTCTGGGCACAGGAAAGATAAATGTATTGCCAACCTGTAGTAATGACACCAGCTCCCTTCTCTGCTGGTGAGCACTGCCCAGAAAATCTTTCATGGAAACTTCACAGATGTGTGGCAGAGCACCCTATTATCACATTTTATGGCCAGGTGCTGGTGGCTCACACCTGTAATCCTAGCTAATCAAGAGGCTGAGATCTAAGGATCATGGTTTAAGGCAGCACAGGCAGGAAAGTTTGTGAGACTCTTTTTTTTTTTTTTGTCGGTCATGGGGCTTGAACTCTGGGCCTGGGCGCTGTCCCTCAGCTCTTCAGCTCAAGGCGAGCGCTCTACCACTTGAGCTACAGCGTCACTTACGGTTTTCTGGTGGTTTATTGGAGATACGAGTCTCACGGTCTCCCCTGCCCCGGGCTGGCTTTGAACCGCAATCCTCAGATCTCAGCCTCCTGAGTAGCTAGGATTACAGGCATGAGCTACCAGCGCCCGGCTTTAGTGAGACTCTTATCTCTAATTAACCACCAGAAAACTGGAAGCAGTGCTGTGGCTCAAGTGGTAGAGTACTCACCTTGAGCTGAAGAGCTGAATGATAGTGCCCAGGCCCAGAGTTCAAGCCCCACAACCGACAAAAAAGAAATTGGACAAATGGTTCAGGATCCTAAAACCTATGAGTGACCCAGCTGGTATTTAAACCCTAACTGCCAGGGACCAGAACTGACCTGCTCCTGCCTTTCCAAGAGGAGTGTGAACAGCACAGGAATGTCCTCCCACTGTGTGCATGGTTACCTCTGCAGCATGTGCGCTTAGGCACCCTGACAAGCTAAGGGACGTCACCCAGTCCAAGTTCAAACCCCAGTGTGGGGGGAAGGCAGCTGGGAGGGCGACACCACCTGGCGTCACCACGAATGCCTGGAAGCTGTGTGTGTTTCTGCTCCTGGCCTGGGGCTGCACACCATGCTGTTGTCCAGCACCTTCTCTTAGAGAACGAGCAGACATGGATTTCTCCAGCCATAGTGTGTGGACAGGAGGACTCTGGGCTTTCCTCAAGTAGTTGAAGCAAAACAGTTAAGATGGTGCTTGGTCTCGCGAGCAGGTTGGTTAGACACCTGGCCCCTGGCATGTAGGCAGTACATGTGAAAGCTGGAGGCACTGCCCTTTGGTCTCAAAAAAGAGACATGTTCTAGGCTTTGGCCTGTTTTCCTCTTGGCTCCTCTGCGTACTACGCAAAAGGGGTCCAGCTCCCAGATCCCCCAGAAGTAGTACCCACCCTTCTAGAGCCAACCTTCTAGCCAAGAGATGGTGGCCTAGAATCCCCTAAGCTCAGCCAGGCTCTGAGTTTGTCACCACAGCTGCACGTGTGAAGCTGTAGGTTACCCATAAATGCTTACTCCACACAGTTTTTATGGCCTCTAGTCTGCAGAGACAAAGGGTGTGGTTTCAGTTTACTGTTGACCTTGGGTATGTAACCTTTTAAGCCTTAGTCCAGGGCTTTATTTGTTGTTGTTCCTCTTGTCAGCTGTCAGTCTGTCTTGGTGGCTTAGATCTGACTTCAGTCCCCACTCCTTAGCAGGGACCGGTCCCACAGGCTGTCTGGTGTAGTCACAAGGTTTGCTCACTAAAGCTACTGGAAGTGCTGACATGGGGTGTGCTATTTGTTGCAAGAATCTATATTGGAATCTGTCTTCACAGAAGCACTGTGGATGATCTCTTGGGTATTATTTTATGCCAATATATCAGCTTTGGTTTCCACAGCCACTCTGACCTATGATACTCTCCGGTTTGCCGAGTTTGAGGATTTCCCTGAGACCTCGGAGCCCGTTTGGATCCTGGGTAGAAAATACAGCATTTTCACAGGTACTGGCCTCTGCTTCTGCAGAAAAGCCTCTTTTGATAGCGATTGCTGTCTACAACCTCCTATGACGTCTGACTTCGTGTGTGTCTCCCTCTTTTAAACAACCCTAGAGAAGGACGAGATCCTGTCTGACGTGGCGTCCAGACTGTGGTTTACGTATAGGAGAAACTTCCCAGCCATTGGTAAGCACCTCACTTTTCTTCGGTCTACAACAACATCGTGCTTTAGAAAGGAGGAGACCTTACACTGAACAGTTTAAACTCCATGCCAGACACCTCATTTTATCTCCAAAGCAACCCTGGATAAATAAATAGTCTGAGGTCCCCTGCCCAGTAATGGCAGAGCTCAGCTCCAAACCGGGTGGTGGTGTTTTCTGCCAGCAAACTACAGCTTGCTACTGGAGCTTAAAGTCAGCCTTAAGGGTCAGGACAGCATTTTAAATGTGGAGAAGCAAAGTGTTGGCCACAGTAAGACAGTATGCTGCCTCAGAGGATTTTGGGTTCTAGTTGTATATTTGAGTGTGTGTCCTGGGTCCCTAGTACCACATAGTTTTCATCCTCAACTAGGAAGATTGAAGAGCAAGGTTGTATGATGTGCTTTCATGGGACATTAAAGTAGATTCCTTACACGTGATTTTTGTGGGGGCTGGTGTGTCCCACTATAATCCTAGCTACTCAGGAGACCAAAATCTGCAGATCATAGTTTGAAGCCAGTTTTGGCAGAAAAGTCTATGAGACTCTTATCTCTAGTTCACCAGCAAAAAATAGTCAGAAGTGGAGATGTGGCTCAAGTGGTAGCATACCGATCTTGAATGTAAAAAGCTGAGAGCAGTGCTCAGTTCCTGAGTTTGAACCCCAGTGTGTGCCTGGTGTGTAAAGGCACAAATACACACACACAGTGATTTTTTGCCCTTGTGTCCCCTGGATGGGGCTATAGACCTGTTTTCAGCCTTGCCTCTTAGAGCCAGAGACCCCTAGACTGGCCATTAGGGACCAGGCTGATCCTATATGGCCCCTGTGGCCAGGTCCCAGAACCTTCCCTTCTTTTCATTCTTTCTCCAACTGTGAAGTAAAGGGATGCACTGGCTTCATGTTCCAGAACACACGAGAAATAAAATCCACATCATTGTAGGTTAATGTTTAGTTCAGTAATTCATCAGAGCTTGGGGATAGACTTTCAGTCCACATATTATAGATTCCAGTATCACACCTTGGCCAAGCTTGTTCTTTACATAGGCCTGGTCCCTGGAGGAGGTCGGACTAGAGGGGTGCCTTTGTTGTGGAGGAGACAAGGGTGGTCTTGTGTGACGCTGCAGATTAGAAGTAGGTGAGGGTAATAGAGGAAAGCTCTCTCCAGGGCCCTGCAGACTGCGCTGTGCTCCTGTGTGGAAGGGGCTCTTACTGAGGGAAGAGGCACGGTGTACCCTCACTGGCATAGTGTACCTTCACCAGCACGGTGTACCCTCACCGGCACGATGTACCCTCACCAGTACAGTGTACCTTCACCAGCACGGTGTACCCTCACCAGCACGGTGTACCCTCACCGGCACGATGTACCCTCACCGGCACGGTGTACCCTCACCAGTACAGTGTACCTTCACCAGCACGGTGTACCTTCACCAGCATGGTGTACCCTCACCAGCACAGTGTACCTTCACCAGCACGGTGTACCCTCACTAGCACGGTGTACCCTCACCGGCACGATGTACCCTCACCGGCACGGTGTACCCTCACCAGTACAGTGTACCTTCACCAGCACGGTGTACCCTCACCGGCACAGTGTACCCTCACCGGCACGATGTACCCTCACCAGCAGTATACCCTCACCAGCACAGTGTACCTTCACCAGCACAGTGTACCTTCACCAGCATGGTGTACCCTCACCAGCACAGTGTACCTTCACCGGCACGGTGTACCCTCACCGGCACAGTGTACCCTCACCGGCACGATGTACCCTCACCAGCAGTATACCCTCACCAGCACAGTGTACCTTCACCAGCACAGTGTACCTTCACCAGCATGGTGTACCTTCACCAGCACGGTGTACCTTCACTAGCATGGTGTACCCTCACCGGTACGATGTACCCTCACCGGCACGGTGTACCCTCACCAGTACAGTGTACCTTCACCAGCACGGTGTACCCTCACCAGCACAGTGTACCCTCACCGGCATGATGTACCCTCACCGGCAGTATACCCTCACCAGCACAGTGTACCTTCACCAGCACAGTGTACCTTCACCAGCATGGTGTACCCTCACTGGCATAGTGTACCTTCACCAGCACAGTGTACCCTCACCGGCACGATGTACCCTCACCAGCACAGTGTACCTTCACCAGCACGGTGTACCCTCACTAGCACGATGTACCCTCACCGGCACGGTGTACCTTCACCAGCACGGTGTACCTTCACCAGCACCATGTACCCTCACCAGCACAGTGTACCTTCACCAGCACGGTGTACCTTCACCAGCACGATGTACCCTCACCAGCACAGTGTACCTTCACCAGCACAGTGTACCTTCACCAGCACAGTGTACCTTCACCAGCACGGTGTACCCTCACCAGCACGATGTACCCTCACCAGCACAGTGTACCTTCACCAGCACAGTGTACCTTCACTAGCACAGTGTACCCTCACCAGCACGGTGTACCCTCACCAGCACAGTGTACCTTCACCAGCACAGTGTACCTTCACCAGCACAGTGTACCTTCACCAGCACGGTGTACCCTCACCAGCACGATGTACCCTCACCAGCACAGTGTACCTTCACCAGCACAGTGTACCTTCACCAGCACAGTGTACCTTCACCAGCACAGTGTACCTTCACTAGCACAGTGTACCCTCACCAGCACGGTGTACCCTCACCAGCACAGTGTACCTTCACCAGCACAGTGTACCTTCACCAGCACAGTGTACCTTCACCAGCACGGTGTACCCTCACCAGCACGATGTACCCTCACCAGCACAGTGTACCTTCACCAGCACAGTGTACCTTCACCAGCACGGTGTACCCTCACCAGCACGGTGTACCCTCACCAGCACAGTGTACCCTCACCGGCACGATGTGCCCTCACTGGCACGATGTGCCCTCACCAGCACAGTGTACCCTCACCGGCACGGTGTACCTTCACCAGCAGTATACTCTCACCGGCACGGTGTGCCCTCACCGGCACGGTGTACCTTCACCAGCACAGTGTACCTTCACCAGCACGGTGTACCCTCACCGGCACGATGTACCCTCACCAGCACAGTGTACCTTCACCTGCACGGTGTACCTTCACCAGCACGATGTACCCTCACCAGCACAGTGTACCTTCACCAGCACAGTGTACCTTCACCAGCACAGTGTACCTTCACCAGCACGGTGTACCCTCACCGGCACAGTGTACCCTCACCGGCACGGTGTGCCCTCACCGGCACGGTGTACCCTCACCAGCAGTATACTCTCATTGGCATGGTGTGCCCTCACCAGCACGGTGTACCCTCACCGGCAGTATACCCTCACCGGCAGTATACCCTCACCGGCAGTATACCCTCACCAGCAGTATACTCTCATTGGCATGGTGTACCCTCACCGGCACGGTGTACCCTCACCGACAGTATACCCTCACTGGCACGGTGTACCCTCACTGGCATGGTGTACATCCTCCTTCCTTATCACAGCTCTTCCATGGCATTCTACTGAACTCACCGAGGACCAGCAGGATATTTTCCACGTGTTGGTTACATATTTTCACTGGAGTATATGTTGTCTTTCTGGATCCCAGAAGTGAACATGAAGTAGCAGGGCCAGGGCACATGTGCTGGAAGTGTGGAGAGTTACAGTACCCACTGCAGTGCGTGCCCGTCCACACCAGTAACACTGCAGCACCTGCCCATCCACACCAGTAACACTCAGCACGTGCCCATCCACACCAGTAACACTGCAGCACGTGCCCATCCACACCAGTAACACTCAGCACGTGCCCATCCACACCAGTAACACTGCAGCACGTGCCCATCCACACCAGTAACACTCAGCACGTGCCCATCCACACCAGTAACACTGCAGCACGTGCCCATCCACACCAGTAACACTCAGCACGTGCCCATCCACACCAGTAACACTGCAGCACGTGCCCATCCACACCAGTAACACTGCAGCGTGTCCATCCACACCAGTAACACTCAGCACGTGCCCATCCACACCAGTAACACTGCAGCACGTGCCCATTCACACCAGTAACACTGCAGCATGTGCCCATCCACACCAGTAACACTGCAGCGTGTCCATCCACACCAGTAACACTGCAGCGTGTCCATCCACACCAGTAACACTGCAGCACGTGTTGATCCACACCAGTAACACTGCAGCACGTGCCCATCCACACCAGTAACACTGCAGCGTGTCCATCCACACCAGTAACACTGCAGCGTGTCCATCCACACCAGTAACACTGCAGCACGTGCCCATCCACACCAGTAACACTCAGCACGTGCCCATCCACACCAGTAACACTGCAGCGTGTCCATCCACACCAGTAACACTGCAGCACGTGTCGATCCACACCAGTAACACTGCAGCACGTGCCCATCCAAACCAGTAACACTCAGCACGTGCCCATCCACACCAGTAACACTCAGCACGTGCCCATCCACACCAGTAACACTCAGCACGTGTCCATCCACACCAGTAACACTCAGCACGTGCCCATCCACACCAGTAACACTCAGCACGTGTCCATCCACACCAGTAACACTCAGCACGTGCCCATCCACACCAGTAACACTCAGCACGTGCCCATCCACACCAGTAACACTCAGCACGTGCCCATCCACACCAGTAACACTGCAGCGTGTCCATCCACACCAGTAACACTCAGCACATGCCCATCCACACCAGTAACACTGCAGCGTGTCCATCCACACCAGTAACACTCAGCACGTGCCCATCCACACCAGTAACACTGCAGCGTGTCCATCCACACCAGTAACACTGCAGCGTGTCCATCCACACCAGTAACACTGCAGCACGTGTCGATCCACACCAGTAACACTGCAGCACGTGCCCATCCACACCAGTAACACTGCAGCGTGTCCATCCACACCAGTAACACTACAGCGTGTCCATCCACACCAGTAACACTGCAGCACGTGCCCATCCACACCAGTAACACTCAGCACGTGCCCATCCACACCAGTAACACTGCAGCGTGTCCATCCACACCAGTAACACTGCAGCACGTGTCGATCCACACCAGTAACACTGCAGCACGTGCCCATCCAAACCAGTAACACTCAGCACGTGCCCATCCACACCAGTAACACTCAGCACGTGCCCATCCACACCAGTAACACTCAGCACGTGCCCATCCACACCAGTAACACTGCAGCGTGTCCATCCACACCAGTAACACTCAGCACGTGCCCATCCACACCAGTAACACTGCAGCGTGTCCATCCACACCAGTAACACTCAGCACGTGCCCATCCACACCAGTAACACTGCAGCGTGTCCATCCACACCAGTAACACTCAGCATGTGTCCATCCACACCAGTAACACTCAGCACGTGCCCATCTACACCAGTAACACTCAGCACGTGCCCATCCACACCAGTAACACTCAGCACGTGCCCATCCACACCAGTAACACTCAGCACGTGTCCATCCACACCAGTAACACTCAGCACGTGCCCATCTACACCAGTAACACTGGACATCATGAACTTTTTCCTTTCTGGTAAATTGGTAGCCAAGGAAAATTGCATTTTCTGGGTTCATCTTGGGGGTTATTGTTCCAAGCCACCAGCCATTGTCATACATGACTGGCTTGTTCATGTATTTTCCTGCTTGCGGGACCCAGGAGTGGGTGCTGTGATGTGGTGTCGACTCCGGACTCTGGCCGGGCTCGGCCGGGTGGCCCTGTGTACATGTGCTTCTCTCTCGGCCACAGGGGGAACCGGCCCCACCTCAGACACGGGCTGGGGCTGCATGCTGCGGTGCGGACAGATGATCTTTGCCCAGGCTCTTGTGTGCCGACACTTAGGCCGAGGTGAGTCACGGTGACTGGGGGGCTGTGGTGAGGAACCATCGGTTAAACCCAAGTTAGAGTTCAGAAGCTTCTCCTGTGACATCTGTTGGGTTTTTGGTTTTGGTTTTTTGGTGCCAGTCCCGGAGTTTGAGCTCAGGGTCTGAGCACTGTCCCTGAGCTGCTTTTGCTCAAGGCTGGCACTCTACCACTTGAGTCACAGCACTACTGGCTTTTTTAGCAGTTTATGGAGATAAGAGTCTCACGGACTTTCCTGCCTGGGCAACTTCAAACTGCAATTCTTAGATCTCAGCCTCCCGAATAGCTAGGATTACAAGCATGAGCCACCAGCGCCTGGCAACCTTTTGGTTTTTATTGGTTAGAGGAACTGATTTTAGAGTGCTTATGTGAATGTTTGTATTTTAAAGATTATCTATAAATGTTCTTTTTTTTTTTTTTTTTTTTTAAATTTCAGTTTTTAATTAATGACTGCTAGTATAGGTAAGAATACAAGTGAATGTTGAGTATTGACATTGCATCTTGCAACTTTACTAAATTTATGTACTAATTATTTTGATTTTTTTTGCTAGTACCAAAGTTTGAACTCAGGACCTTGTATTTACTAAACTTCATTTTGTTCAGCTAGTGCTTTACCACTTGAGCCACATCTTCAGCTCTGCTTCTTGATAGTTGCTTGGGAGACAAAGTCTTGTGGATTTTTCTCCCAGGCTGACTTTCTTTTTTTTTTTTTTTGTAATTTTTTTTTTTTTTATTGTAAAGCTACTATACAGAGGGTTACAGTTACATGAGTGAGGTTATGTTCCTTTTTAACTGTATTTTACTTTCAGTCTGGATTTGTTTTGATGAGTTGGTGTTTTGTATGTTTGAGATCCTGGTGAATCTGGCTGTGTTGTGTGTGTGTGTCTGTTGTGGGGCTTGAACTCAGGGCCTGGGAGCTGTCCCTGAACCTCTTTGTGCTCAAAGCTAGCGCTCTATCACTTTGAGCCACAACGCCACTTCCAGGTTTTGGGTGGTTAATTGGAGATAAAGGTGTCGCAGGGACTTTTCTGCCCAGGCTGGCTTCAAACAGCGATCCTTAGATTGCAGCCTCCTGAGTAGCTAGGATAACAGGGGTGAGCCACCGGCTCCTGACAAATTTGGCTTTTTTTTTTTTTTGGTTGGTCATGGGGCCTGAACTCTGGGCCTGGGCGCTGTCCCTCAGCTCTTCAGCTCAAGGCTAGCACTCTACCACTTGAGCCACAGCGCCACTTCCAGCTTTTTCTGCTTATGTGGTGCTGAGGCATCGAACCCAGGGCCTCATGCATGCAAGGCAAGCACTCTACCACTGAGCCACCTTCCCAGCCCCAAATTTGGCCTTTCACTTTAGAAAGGTTAGAAGACGTTTGGGGCTTGTCTGAGTGAGTGTGCCCTTGTGTGTGTTTGTTTCCCACAGATTGGAGGTGGGCGCAGCGCAGGAGGCAGCCTGACAGCTACTTCAGCGTCCTCAGCGCCTTCCTGGACAGGAAGGACAGCTACTACTCCATCCACCAGATAGGTGGGGTCTCCCGGGGGGGCTTCTCTGTGGAGCTGAGCCAGGCTCCAGGTCACTCTGGCCGCTCTGGCCCTGGGCGCCGCCGTGGGTGGTCCAGCAGCAGTTCAGACGCTGCCCCTCTCCCTATACAGAGTCTGGAAACCAGATTCTGTCTCCAGATTGGCAGTCCTGTGTCAGGCGGTGGTTCTGTCTAGACCGCTCTGTAACTGTTTCCTGGCACCACATGCGTTAGAGGTGGTGGGGTATTGGTTGTCTGTGGTGGATGTGTTGCTAATCTGGGTTTGTTTCCTGCAGCTCAAATGGGAGTTGGTGAAGGGAAGTCTATAGGCCAGTGGTATGGGCCGAACACCGTCGCCCAGGTCCTCAAGTGCGTATCCAGCCTGTCTTTTTCCCTCTGGGGTGGCTTTCCATGTTCCTTGGAAACAAGGAACAAGGGGTCTGGCTCTTTCTTTACAAGACCAGGAGGAGCTCATGGTGACCCTGCCTAGTTGTCTCGTGTGTGGAGTTTGTGTGTGCTGGTGAAGTGGGAGCCTTCACCTGGGGCCCAGGGTGGGCCTGGCCTCTGCCCAGAGACCCATGTGGAGTGGTAGCCACGGCAGTTAGGTGTGTCCCGGGTGGGCTTTGGGCTCCTCAGGGGCACAGGGGACTGTGCCCTGCCACGTGACTCAGGGTCTGCAGCTTGGTCCAAGCTTGCTTGCCTGCCTCGGTTATTCTGTGGGACATGTGTCCCTTTGGACGTCTCTGAAGCGGCTCTTCCTGCCATTTCCAGGGACTTGTCACTCCCCTCCTCCGCATAGTCATTGGACCGGTGTGCGGCTCCTGTGGTCACTGGCCCTTTTGAGGGGCTCTGGGCGCTGGCTGGGCTTCAGCTTGATGTCTAGCTGCAGCTCTCCCTCAGTGTCCTTGTTCCGCTGTCCTCTGTCACAGGGTCCCTGCCACCCCACATGGTGTGGCCCTTTCCCGTGGGGCCTCTAGTCTGTCAGGCGTGAGGCTGCTGGGGGAAGGGCCACTCGACACGGTGGCTTGGACCTGACCAGGCTTGTGTCTGGGGGCTGCCCCTCCGTTTCCCAGCGCTCCTCTGTGCAGCCAGCTCCTGAGGGGCAGCTGGCAGTGATCATCCTCAGCTTGCTTCCTGTCTGTGGAGTAGGACCTGCTCTTCACTTTCTGAGACGTGGTGTTTCCCTTTGGGAAGCTGGTCACATACTGATCTTTTCCGGAGAGCAGAAAGTTCATGGGCACATTCTCTTGCTTTCTACAGGAAGCTTGCCGTATTCGACACGTGGAGCTCCTTGGCGGTTCACATAGCAATGGACAACACTGTAGTGATGGAGGAGATCAGTAAGTGGCTCAGGGCTCCAGCTACAGGGAGGCGGCATTGTGGGTGACACGTGTTTCCCTGCTGAGCCCAAGAGGGAACAGTGCTTGAGGGTGGAGGGCCACAGGAAACCTCTGGTGAGCTCAGTCTCTGTTGGCACACCGGGCCCCCCCTTGAGCTTCATCCACAGGCTAAGGCTGGTGGCGGCGGCACAGACCTGCAGTCTGGCACGAGGGATGTTGAGTTAGGAGGATCCTTGAGTCTAGGAGTTCAAGGCCAGCCTAGGCACCATAGAAGACTCCATCAAGAAAGACAGAGACGGTCTGGGAATGTGGCTTCGTGGTAGAGTGCATGAAGCCCTGGGTTCAATTCCTCAGTACCACATACACAGAACTGGAAGTGGCGCTGTGGCTGAAGTGGTAGAGTGTTAGCCTTGAGCAAAAGAAGCTCAGGAACAGTGCCAGGCCCTGAGTTCAAGTGCCAGGACTGGCAAAAAAAGAGAGAGAGAGAGAGAAAGAATAAAAAGCAGTATGCAAGAAATAACCAACTCTTAGCCACTGTCTGTGGCTCACACCTGTAATCCTAGCTACTCAGGAGGCTGAGATCTGAGCTTTGCGGCTTAAGGCCAGCCCGGGCAGGAAAGTCTGTGAGACTCTTATCTCCAGCTAACTACCAAAAAGTTGGAAATGATGCTATGGCTCAAAGTGGGAGGAAATCAGCCCTGAGCACAAGATCAGGGACAGTGCCCAGGCCCCAAGTTCAAGCCCAAGACTGGGGAAACAAAAGAAAGGAAGCAAGCAAGCCGCGGTGTCCAGCTACACTCAGGCAGGAATTCTGGCTGAGTGCCTCTGTGTGTGTTAACGGGCCACAGTGAGTTACCTCATCTCAAGAAAGAAGCACCGAGGGAAGGAAGTGACTTGCCTGTCAGCACCTGAGGGGCGCAGGTGTGCAGAGCTGATGTCTGGAAGGAGGCGCGCCTGGGTGCTCGCAGGTGTTGGGAGCAGGGCCTGTCCTGAGGTGCAGCCAGTCACGCTGCTCCTGTGTCTTAGAATCCACTCACACGGCCCGGCAGCACCTTTCCTAAAGAATACCTTAGAAAGCGGCTCTAAGTTTGGAGTTCTAGATGTGAGCTGCTGGTCTTGGACCCACTAGAAGTGAGTGGACCTTGCCTGTGTGGCCAGAGTATGTGAGCCACCACGGGCGTCTGCCAGGTGGCGCGCAGGCCACTTCCCTGCTGGAGCGACAAGCCCTCAGTGGCACTGCTCGCCTCTGGCCGTCCTCATGGGAGTATTGGTGGTGGTGGGAGGGGCCAAAATCTGACCTAGTAAGGAGCAGCACTTATCCCACAGCTGTGGGAACAAGCATCCCTCCAGGCGCCAGTGCAAGGGCTTTTTCTCTGACTTATTTCTTGAACTTTTTATTGATTGATTGAGTGATTGATTGTCGGTCGTGGGGCCTGAACTCTGGGCCTGGGCGCTGTCCCTCCTCTCTTCAGCTCAAGGCGAGTGCTCTACCACTTGAGCCACAGCACCACTTCCAGTTTTCTGGTGCCTTATTGGAGATAAGAGTCTCATGGACAGCCGGGCGCTGGTGGCTCACGCCTGTAATCCTAGCTACTCAGGAGGCTGAGATCTGAGGATCGCGGTTCAAAGCCAGCCCGGGCAGGAGAGACCGTGAGACTCCTATCTCCAATAAACCACCAGAAAACCGGAAGTGGCGCTGTAGCTCAAGTGGTAGAGCGCTTGCCTTGAGCTGAAGAGCTGAGGGACAGCGCTCAGGCCCAGAGTTCAAGCCCCACGACCGACAAAAAAAAAAAAAAGAAATGTTAGTGATTTTATCACTCACTCAGAAATAGCACTATCTAAAACAACAATAAAGTAAATTAGAAAAAAAGAAAGAAAAAATAACACGCTAGAAGGAAGCAGTGTTCTTTGCATGTTTGTTAAAAATTGCTGGGCACTGGTGGCTAATACCTGTCATCCTATCTACTCAGGAGGCTGAGGGCTGGGGATTGCGGTTCAAAGCCAGCTTGGGCAGGGAAGCCCAGGAGACTCTTACCTCCAATTAATCACCAGAATAGTTGGAAGTGAAGCAGTGGCTCAAGTGGTAAAGCACTAGCCTTGAGCAGAGAAGCTAAGGGACAGCGCTCAGGCCCTGAGTTCAAGCCCCAGAACCAGCAAAAAGAAAAAAAAATTTAATATCAGTGCCAGAACAGCCAAGAAAAACCAAGATAGCTGAATTTATAGAACTAGTTGACCAGAATAGAGGAAGCATAAAACCAATATGTGCAGTGGAAATTTCCCAAAGAGTAAGAGGAAGTGCCCCTAGTTAGGTGGGAATTGTCTTTAGAGCTAAACACCCCAACTTTTGTGAGTCAGAAATACTGAAAGATACATGTTCCCCATGCTATTTCTAAGTTGCAAGAATAGAACATCCAAAACACCCAAATAACATAGTTACTCCTAAGCCTTCCTGCCTTGGCCTCTTCCTGCCCTGCAAGATGCCTCAGGAAACACTCAGTTCTGAGGGAAAGGCCCAGCATCAGGAGGTGGGCAGGTATACACAGAGATCAACACAGGTTTTTTCATTGATGGAGAGTAGGAAATCTATGTTAAGAATTAAAAGGAGGGCGGGGAAGGTGGCTCAGTGGTAGAGCGCAGGCCTTGCATGCATGAGGCCCTGGGTTCCATTCCTCAGCACCACATAAACAGAAAAAGCCAGAGGTGGCGCTGTAGCTCAAGTGGTAGAGCTCTAGCCTTGAGCTGACTTGCTGAGGGACAGTGCCCAGGCCCAGGGTTCAAGCCCCATGACCAACCAAAAAAAAAAAATTAGAAGTAGCCAGGCGCCAGTGGCTTGTGCCTGTAATCCTAGCTATTCAGGAGGCTGAGATCTGAGGATTGTGGTTCAAAGCCAGCCCGTGCAGGAAAGTCTGTGAGACTTTTTGGTTGTCATGCGGCTTGCACTATGCTGTCTCTGAGCTCTTCAGATCAAAGTGAGTGCTCTATCACTTGAGCCACAGCGCCACTTCCGGTTTTCTGGTGGGTAATTGGAGATAAGTCTTATGGACTTTCCTTCCCGGGCTGGCTTTGAACCATGATCCTCAGATCTCAGCCTCCTGAGTAGCTAGGATGACAGGCCTGAGCCACGGCGCCCAGCTTGAGACTCATTTTTAAGAGTCGAGGTCAAGCTGGGTTCCTATCAACCTAGCAACCGAGAAGGCTGAAACCAGGAGGATGGAGCCATAAACCAGCCTAGGCAGTGAAGTTGGAAGACAGGAAAGTGTACCGTAAACCAGCACATTGCTGGACTGGAAGTGTGGTTCAAGTATTAGAGCAACCAGCAGTGCACAAGAAATCCGAGACCATGAGGTCCTGAGTTCAAGCCTTGGTACTGGTACCAAAAAATAAAGAAAAAGGAATCCGGTTCAGTTAAACTCCCTCACACTGGTCTTGGGTGTTTCCTTGGATTTGATTTGCTCTGGGTTAAGTGTTCTGACGTTCCCTGCCGCTGAGTGGCACTCTGTCCTCAGTCACTGTCAGCCGGCCTGTCTCCGTGTGTGTCCTTTGGGTAATGCCATACTGGGTCTGCTGGGGAACTGAACACTTTCCTCTTACAATTAAAACAAAAAATCTGAGGTTGATCCCTAATGTGTTGGTGAACTTAATGACTGGAAAGGGTGGTTTTCCTGACAGGGTTATTGATTGACATTCTTGAGAAGGAACTCCCACTTTCCTTTTACCTCCCCTTTATTTTATTTTATTTATTTTTTTGTTGGTCGTGGAGGCTGGGCCTGGGCGCTGTCCCTCAGCTCTTCAGCTCAAGGCGCGCGCTCTACCACTTGAGCCCCCTTCCCAGCCCTCCCTTTATTTTGAATCACCACTTTTTTAAAGCGCCCTTGGGTTCCTCGGTTCTCCTTTTTAACCGCTGTCTCACCTCTCCCTGATGGTTTGATGCACGCTTTCGCCGGCCTGTCTTTGAGAGTCTGACTTGGTTTGCTGAGCACTATTGGCGTCTCCCGTCGGTGAATGCCCCAGCTCCTGTGGCTCCCTGCCCCCCCCCCGCCGCAGAGCCTGGCTCCTGAGAGTGTGGGCGGTGTGGTAGGCTGGACTGTCTCCTGCCCATACCCACACCCCTAGTTCATGTGCGTGTTGAAGGTGTACCTAGTGCGTTCAGATAGCAGACCTAAGGCAAGAGCAAAAGCTGTTCTTGGATGCCCTCCTTGCTGAGGAGGGATGGGTAAGTGGCTCTTGTTAGGCTGGGTCCTTACTTTATCTCTAAAGTGCACATGATATTTTTCTTGCACTAATTGGTGTTATATGCTTTATTTCTCAATAATTTTTTTAAGTTGAATGTTCTCTGAGTGGCAGGATTCTGGAGAAATTTTGTTTTCCTGGCTGACTTGTGTTTTAAGCACTTGCTTTCTGCTGCCTTCCTTGATGGTGGCATGGTGATGTGCTTGCTCCTTGGGGAGCCCTTCCTGCCATTGCTTGGCCTGTGAAAGTCCCGTCTTTTTGTCCAGGAAGATTGTGCAGGGCTGGTCTTCCCTGTGCTGGGGCTGCTGCGCCCCCTGCGGATTCTGAGCGGCACTGCAACGGCTTTCCTGCGGGGGCCGAGGCCGCCCCCCGGCCGTCGCCCTGGAGGCCGCTCGTGCTTCTGATCCCCCTGCGCCTGGGGCTCACAGACATCAACGAGGCCTACGTGGAGACGCTGAAGGTGGGTCCTGAGCGTGGCTGTGGCCCCAAGCACCTCCTCCCAGCCTGTGGTCAGCAGCCCCCGGGAAGCAGCCATTGGTCAAGAGAGGCAGGAGAGACATTAAATAAAACAAGGTTTTTGAGAATTGGAACATGAAGAACTTTATAAGGTGTCCTCAGTGCAGGAGCCTGACATTTAAGTCCTGCTGAGCCTCCCAGGTGTCTGAGGATGGCGTAGGCCCACGGGCCCACTGAGGGCCGGGAAAGGGCGAGGAGTCCCAGACGCTGGGAGAGCTCCTCCCTGTGTGACTCTGACATCACCGTCTGCACCCCAAAAGCAACAGGCAAAGCCCTTTGGAGCTTCAGTTGATTGGAAACATTGCCTTTTGTTAAACATCTTTCACTTCCTGTGTGCCGTGTTTCATGCCTGTAATCAGGGTGTTGAGATCTGAGGGTCACAGTGTAAAGCCAGGCCTGGCAGGAAAGGCTGTGAGACTCTTATCTGCTGCTAATTACCCACCAGAAAACTGGAACTGGCGCTGTGACTCAAGTGGTAGAGTGCTAGCCTTGAGCAAAAGAAGCTCAGGGACAGTGCCCAGGATGAAAACTCAGGTCCCGGGACTGGCCAAAATAATAATATAATTGACTTGTCATACGCTGGTGGCTCACACCTGTCATCCTATAGGAGACAGATCTGATGATTGAGACTCAGAGCTATCCTGGGCAGCAAAGTCTGTGAGACTCATCTCCAGTTAACCAGCCAAAAGCTGGAAATGAGCTGTGGCTCACGTACTGGTGTTGGCCTTGATGAGCAAGAAAGCTAAGGGACAGTGCCCAGCCCCCCCCCCCCCCGTGTTCCCCTCAGACAGGGTTTCTTGTCCTGGTCTTTTCTTCCTCTGGCTCTCTGACTGCGCTCTGCTGCGGTCTCGGTGTCAGCTCCCCCTTGTTTGAATTTTTTTGGTGTTATAAAGCTGGCGTACAGAGGGGTCACAATCACATAAATCAGCTGATGAGTCCGTTTCTTGTGCACTGTCACCCTTCCATCACCCACAGTCGTGCAATTCGCTTGAACAGTGTCTGTTGAGTACCACGGCTGCATTTGTTCACTTTTGTTTCTGTGCCCCCCCTTGCCCTCCTAAAGACTGACACAAGATGAAAACAAACAGCAACAAAGGAAAAAGCCTCTTGTTTCCATCAGTACTGCTTTATGTGGTCAGCCGCGCCTGGCCCCTGCAACCCCTGTGATCCTCGCCCACGCGCACCCTCCTTTGGCCTCCCTGTCTGAATGCCCAGAGATCTGCCCCCGTGTTCTGTGCTGCCGTTTAGCTTAGGAGAATGTGTGCTGCTTGTCTCTCTGAGCTTGGCTTACCACACCTGTGTGATTTGTTCTAGGTCTGTCCACTTCCCTGCAAGTGACATATGTGCTTTCTAAAGGCTGAAACCCATCTCTCCTTGCCCACCTCACCTGACTTGCCTGTGTCCATTTCTGCCCCCTGGCTCCGATCCGTATCCTGGTCAGGCCTCCTCTGCCCCGCCCCTCCCCCCCCCCCCCCCCCCCCACCTCTCCCTCTTTACTCTTTTGCAGGCCACTCTAGGCCCTCGCTCTCTTTCCCTGAGCCTGTGGGATGTGGCGGAGCTCTCTAGACTAATGGCTCTGGGTTTGTTTTCCCTGGATCCCGTGGTGGGGTGGGGTGGATGTCTGTGCCTGCCCAGAGGTGTCTTCCGTGCTGTGCTCAGCAGCTTCCTCTCTTCCACAGCACTGTTTCATGATGCCCCAGTCCCTGGGTGTCATCGGAGGGAAGCCCAACAGTGCCCACTACTTCATTGGCTACATGGGTGAGTCTGGCCTGCCTGCCCTGCGAAGTTCCACCGTAGGAGTTCAGGCTTTACGTGGGCTCTCCACCGCGCCCCTCACGCCTGCTGTGATGTAATCACATAGGGCCCCAGTGGACAGCCTGTGGCTTTTTCTGTGAGGGGCCACTCCTGACATCCAGACCGGCTGGCTGCCAGGCCCTGTGCATCTTCCAGTCCCTACCCCGTCCTCAGCTTGGTTTGTCAGGCTGACCGGCGTGGCCAGTAGCCCTTGCCTGCTTCTCCCTTGTCCCTCTGACTTGTGCATCGTCATTGTCAGGTGAGGAGCTGATCTACCTGGACCCCCACACGACGCAGCCTGCGGTGGAGCTGAGCGACGGCTGCTTCATCCCAGACGAGAGCTTCCACTGCCAGCTCCCTCCCTGCAGGATGGGCATCGGGGAGCTCGACCCTTCCATTGCCGTGGTACCTTGAGCAGCTGTCCTTTGTGGTGGGGTACTGGGGCCTGAACACCCGCTGCCTCATGCTCTTTCTCTTTTTCTTTTCTTTTTTTTTTGGTCGTGGGGCTTGAAGTCCGGGCCTGGGCGCTGTCCCTGAGCTCTTCAGCTCAAGGCGAGCGCTCTACCACTTGAGCCACAGCGCCACTTTTGGTTCTCTGGTGGTTATTTGGAGATAAGCGACTCAGGGACTTTCCTGTCTGGACTGGCTTTGAACTGTGATCCTCAGCTCTCAGCCTCCTGCGTAGGATGACAGGCGTGGGCCACCGGTGTCCGGCTGCCTCTTGCTCTTACTTGGCTCAAGGCCGATGCTGTAGCATGTGAGCCGCACCTCTACGTCTGCCTTTTTGGTGGTTAATTGGACTTTACTGCCCCAGCTGGCATTGATCTCGGTCTCCTGAATAGGATTTCAGGAGTAAGCCACAGCAACCCAGCTAAGCAGCTGTTTTGAGTCATTTTATGACAAATCCTTTGTGAGAAAAAAAGGAAAAACTTGAGTTTTGTTTTTCCAGTATTTCAGTTTCTTGTTCATGTGGTTTGAAAGTCCAAGGCCTTGGACGTATGAACAGTAACCCTCATCCTTAGGTCTAACCCAGAGACCACCCAGGTGGCCCCCTGGCCTTCCTTTGGGCCAGAGCGCGAGTGTGAACCTGGATGTGTCCTGTAAGCATGAGGGTGTTTCTCCACTTCGCACACTAGTACATGGTGGTCCGTTGAAGCATGTGGCTCCTGTTGTTTTATGTAGTGTTTCTGGGACCTGGTTCCTCAGAATGAGAGTCTTCTCCCTTTTGGATGGTGTCGTCAGTGTTGGTGTTTGTTGTATGCAAATCCACGTACTCCCAAAATGTCCTTGGGGAAGTAGAACAAGAGCGGAAAACAGTAGCAGTGCCTGGCCTGAACAGTGCTGGTCTGCACTGTGGGGTCCACCACGTGGGCTGTTCCGGTAGTGGAGAATGGGGCAGGCCACTTTGACATGGCACAGCCACAGACGCCTCCCGATCGCTGGGGAGGGTGTTGGGAACCGGGTGGGTGAGCTGGACTTCCATCAGAACCTACTGTGAATTCTTCCTCTAAAATTAAGTATGCCTGTCACTGCCAGTGCATCTCAGTAACTCACAGTGGACTGCCAGCCACCGTGGCAGAAAGAGACCCAAACGGTGCTCAGAGCCACCAGGACAGTTCTACACCCGCTGTTCCCACCATAGGCAGAATAGGAGTCGTGACTTAAAGAGACGGGCCTTCTGTCTTCAGTCTCTCTGTCTGTACTTAAGCATATCCATAATGAAGTGTGTAGAGCAGACAAGGCCTTTGGAGTAGGAAAGAGCACCCAGGAGCTGGGCACCAGCGGCTCCTGTCTGTCATCCTAGCTACTCAGGAGGCTGAGATCTGAAGATGGTGGTTCAAAGCCAGCCCAGGCAGGAAAGTCCTTGAGACTCTTATCTCCAATAACCTACCAGAAAAAAACCTGGAAGTGGCGCTGTGGCTCAAGTGGTAGAGCGCTCACCTTGAGCTGAAGAGCTGAGGGACAGCGCCCAGGCCCAGAGTTCAAGCCCCAGGACCAACAACAACAAAAAGAGCACCCAGGTTGAGCTGTACCCATCTCAGGCATTTTTTTCGGTCTGTGTTTTGTCTGTTTTTCCATGTAAGCATCTGTAAATCTGGCGGGTGTAACGTTGAGTACAGTGTCCAGCAGTTCTTGGCACTTCAGTGTCCCCGCATCAGGTCGCCTCTGAGCTCAGACACACTTTGAACTGCTGCCTCGTCTTTGCTGCTGTTCCCTGCCACATGCCCAGAGGGAGTAGTCTCTCTACTTTGCCCTGGCGAGTCTTCAAGGCCTTTGTCATTCTCAGAAAATCAACTGAGGCTTAAAAAAAATGGACATGAATGCTGATGGCTCACCTCTGTCATCCTAGTTACTCAGGAGGCTGAGATCTGAGGACCGCAGCTCAGGGCCAGCCTAGGCGGAAAAGTCCAAGAGACTCTTTTTTTTTTTTTTTTGGGTCCGGTCGTGGGGCCTGAACTCTTGGCCTGGGCGCTGTCCCTCAGCTCTTCAGCTCAAGGCTAGCGCTCTACCACTTGAGCCACAGCGCCACTTCCGGCTTTTTTTTTTTCCTGTTTATGTGGTGCTGAGGAATCAAACCCAGGGCGTTAAGCATGCAAAGCAAGCGCTCTACCACTGAGCCACCTTCCCAGCCCCTCCATGAGACTCTTATCTCCATTAAGCAGCAAAAAGCTGGGAGTGGAGCGTGGGTGCAGAGCGTGTGGAAGGCCGTGTTGTGGAGTGTGCGTGCAGAGCGTGTGGAAGGCCGTGTTGTGTCGTGGAGCGTGGGTGCAGAGCATGTGGAAGGCCGTGTTGTGTCGTGGAGCGTGGGTGCAGAGCGTGTGGAAGGTCGTGTCCTGTCGTGGAGCGTGGGTGCAGAGCGTGTGGAAGGTCGTGTCGTGTCGTGGAGCGTGGGTGCAGAGCGTGTGGAAGGTTGTGTCGTGGAGCGTGGGTGCAGAGCATGTGAAAGGCCGTGTTGTGTCGTGGAGCGTGGGTGCAGAGCGTGTGGAAGGCCATGTCGTGTCGTGGAGCGTGGGTGCAGAGCGTGTGGAAGGCCGTGTCGTGGAGCGTGGGTGCAGAGCGTGTGGAAGGCCGTGTTGTGTCGTGGAGCGTGGGTGCAGAGCGTGTGGAAGGCCATGTCGTGGAGCGTGGGTGCAGAGCGTGTGGAAGGCCGTGTCCTGTCGTGGAGCGTGGGTGCAGAGCGTGTGGAAGGCCGTGTCATAGAGCGTGGGTGCAGAGCGTGTGGAAGGCCGTGTCCTGTCGTGGAGCGTGGGTGCAGAGCGTGTGGAAGGCCGTGTCCTGTCGTGGAGCATGGGTGCAGAGCGTGTGGAAGGCCGTGTTGTGTCGTGGAGCGTGGGTGCAGAGCGTGTGGAAGGCGGGCCGTGTCGTGGAGGACCTGTAGGATCCCTGGTGGTAGTGGGAACAGTGCTGGGTCTTCTTGGCTGCTCTGCTCATGGTTGGTCTCGTTGTAGGGGTTTTTCTGCAAGACCGAGGAGGACTTCAGCGACTGGTGCCAGCAAGTCAAGAAGGTCTGTACCTGCCCCGTCCAGAACCAAGCTGGGGCCCCTCAGGACACAGGTGGGGCTGGCAGGGCAGAGGCCTACCCTGGGCATGAAGCTCTGGCTCACCACCTCCCCCTGCCCCGCAGCCAGGCGGGCTCCTCCTGCAGGGGTTGCACGCACCTCCACGTGACGTGGCTTCTAGCCCACTCAGCTCCCTCAGGGTTGTATGGGGACGAGCTGGGCCCGAAGCTGCCCTTCCCCACCAGCCTCAGGCCAGGCATGTGTGGTGACAACACAGGTGTGCTCGTGAGTCACTGTTGTGTTAATGGAACGGGTGACAGTCAGACCTGTGCTGTGGCCAGCTCCCACACCCCGGGGCGTGCAGCACTGCTGCTGTGTCTCCTAACTGCTTCTCACCAACAGCTGTCACTGCTCGGAGGTGCCCTGCCCATGTTTGAGCTGGTGGAGCAGCAGCCTTCCCACCTGGCCTGTCCAGACGTCCTCAACCTGTCCCTCGGTGAGTGCGGAGGCTGCAGGCAGTCCGGGTGGGATCTCTGTGCATCTCGTACCCCAGATGTTGACCGGCTTGTCGTTGGTCCTGGAGGGCTATGTGGTCCTCAGGTGCAGGCTGATGGGGTCATCTGTGTCACAGCGTGGAGTGTCTGCTAGCTTTGAGCCACCCAGCTCCTTTCCCCACCCATCTGAGGCCACCTGCCCAGCCAGGGTGCTCAGGCTCTGTGGTGATGCTGTCTCCTACTGGAGCCGATAGCCAGGGTGGTCCCAACCCCTGGGACTGTAGCCAGGGCACATAGCCATGGTGGTCCTGACCCCTGGGACTGTGGCCAGGGCACATAGCCATGGTGGTCCCGACCCCTGGGACTGTGGCCAGGGCACATAGCCAGGGTGGTCCCGACCCCTGGAACTGTGGCCAGGGCACATAGCCAGGGTGGTCCCGACCCCTGGAACTGTGGCCAGGGCACATAGCCAGGGTGGTCTCGACCCCTGGGACTGTGGCCAGGGCACAGACCGAAATAGAGCGCCGTGGCTGGCCTCAGGCCAATTGTGTGTGGCAAGGTTAGTCTTCAGCCAGGACGTGTGTGCACATGTGCGTGTGCACGCACGCCTCCTGTCCTGCAGGTGTGAGGTGTCACTGGGTCTGGGCACACCGTGTGTGTGTGCGCGCGCATGTGTGTGTGTATGTGCGCGCGCACACGCCTCCTGTCCTGCAGGTGTGAGGTGTCACTGGGTCTGGGCACACCATGTGTGTGTGTGTGTGTGTGTGTGTGTATGTGCGCGCGCACACGCCTCCTGTCCTGCAAGTGTGAGGTGTCACGGGTCTGGGCACACCCTGTGTGTGTGTGTGTGTGCGCGCGTGCATGCATGTGGGGGGGCTCCTGTCCTGCAGGTGTGAGGGTCTGGGCACACCCTGTGTGTGTGTGTGTGTGTGTGTGTGTGTGGCGCGTGCATGCGTGTGGGGGGGGCTCCTGTCCTGCAGGTGTGAGGGTCTGGGCACACCCTGTGTGTGTGTGTGGGGGGGGGCTCCTGTCCTGCAGGTGTGAGGGTCTGGGCACACCCTGTGTGTGTGGGCGGCTCCTGTCCTGCAGGTGTGAGGGTCTGGGCACACCCTGTGTGTGTGTGTGTGCGTGCACGTGCATGCGTGTGTGTGGGGGGGGGCTCCTGTCCTGCAGGTGTGAGGGTCTGGGCACACCCTGTGTGTGTGTGGGGGGGGGGCTCCTGTCCTGCAGGTGTGAGGGTCTGGGCACACCCTGTGTGTGTGTGTGGGGGGGGGCTCCTGTCCTGCAGGTGTGAGGGTCTGGGCACACCCTGTGTGTGTGTGTGTGCGTGTGCGTGCATGCATGTGGGGGGGCTCCTGTCCTGCAGGTGTGAGGGTCTGGGCACACCCTGTGTGTGTGTGTGCGCGTGCATGCATGTGTCCTGGGGGGCTCCTGTCCTGCAGGTGTGAGGGTCTGGGCACACCCTGTGTGTGTGTGTGGGGGGGGGCTCCTGTCCTGCAGGTGTGAGGGTCTGGGCACACCCTGTGTGTGTGTGGGGGGGGGGGCTCCTGTCCTGCAGGTGTGAGGGTCTGGGCACACCCTGCCTGCCCCAGGAGCCAGTGCCTTCGAAGGCCGGGTGGGCTGCGGCGCTAGAAAGGCCTATTGGGCTTCTCCCTCTTCCAGCATCTTCCTGTCCTGTTCACCCAAGCAGTCCTAGAGCACTCTGATGAGATTTCATCCTGTTCCTTCCAGATTCTTCTGATGTAGAGCGACTGGAAAGATTCTTTGACTCAGAGGATGAAGACTTTGAGATCTTGTCGCTCTGAAAACCCTGGTTTGAGATGGCCTCCGTGGCCCTCGCTGGGACATTTTGAGAATCCGGCCCTGCCTTGGGCGCTAGGTGCCACGGCATTCCATCCATCCAGCCCACCCTGCCAAGTGCTGCGAGCCTGGGCTGCTCTGTCCAGAGGGCTGCCACTCCGCCCGGGGACGGGGACTGCGCTGTCCCGAGCCTTACTGCTTGGAGTCGCGCTTCTCAGCCCAGAACACACGCCGGGGCTCTCCCTCACATGACGCCGCTATAGAAGCCCAGTGCAGCAGGTCCGGGCCTCCAGAGTTCTCCACTTGACACTGCCAGCCGCGTGTCAGTGCATGGGCTTTGGTCCTGCTTTTTCCTAGTGCCAGTGTCTGGTTTGTATGGAATTAAAGCCCTGTTTGAAGTTGCTCAACACAGACACGAATTTCTGGGGCACTTCCCAGGCCAGAGTCTCGAGACGTACAGGTTGGCACGTACGGAGCAATGGCCACTGTGGCCTCCTGCTGTCCTTGCTGGGCAGGGCAAGCTTCTGGCCTGGCTTCTGCCCGGTGTGGTTTACCAAGGGCTACCTCAAAGGGAGAGCGAGGGGGAAAGAATTATAGCATGACTTCTCCCTGCTTTAGGGAGAAAAGTACTCGAGGCGCACGTGGAGATCCAAAGACGAGGCCAGCAAGTGTGGAGGCCTGAGCCACTGGGCACCTTCCGGGGATCCCTTCAGGGTGCAGCTGCATTGAGATGCACCGCCGCTGCTGTTTGCTTGTCGCCCAGCTTCCCCTCGGGGAGGGCAGAGCTGCTCTGCCTCTGACACTCATGGTGGGGCGCGCGCTGCCACCTGAGCCCTCCTCTACACTCTGGCCCCTCTCAGAACTTCTCTCCTGGGTCACTGCAGTTTTAGGTGGTTTGGGCCCCAGGGGTAGAAATCCTCGAGCAGCTCTGTGGTCCGCGGCAATGGGGGGCAGCGGGGCTCCTGGAGTTGGCAGGAGAGCTTGCAGGCCCTCCTCGGCACCTGTGACCCGGCTTCCCAGGTGCTCAGGTCCCCCTCTCTATCCAGGGGGCGTGAACAGGAGGCAGCCGGGAGGGGCGGGGAGAGGCACTGTCTGGAGACCCTCTCTTTATTCTGCAGACAAGCTGGGCAGGAACTGCCCCCAGCTAGCCCTAGGTGCCCACCGAGTTAGCAGGGGCCACTCTGTCTGCCCAAGTGTTGATGACATAATTTATTTCCCCATTCCTCCCTCTCTCCCACAGCTACAGGTGGGTTGGGGTAACAGGCAAGGCTGGGCCAATGCCCACCCCTGTAGGGTCCTGCTTCCCAGGTCCGGTGGCCACCGTGCTGCTGTGGCCTGGGGTCTTGCGTCAGACGCTGCTGCCGGTGCCAGGAGCGGTCTGGTGGACTGCTACCACCAGAGGTCTCGTGGTTGAAAATGCTTCCTGGAGAGGTTGTTCATTCTCAGTAGTATAGTTTGCGATTCCTAATGCAAATAATAAGTTTCAGTAGAAAACAGTTTGTGTCTATTGATTTTTTTCCCGCTGGTTAGTTTTTAAGTGTGAATGTCTAGCTCATCCCGTCACAGATGGGACACCCGTACAATAGCCAGGGGAGCCGGCCTGCTTCTGTCCTGCTACAAGTGTGTCCTTACCTAGGCCTGGGAGCAGGCACCTGCCCTCCTGTGACAGGAGACACGAGGAAGGGCCGTGTGTCTCGGAGGGTCCCGCGGGGTGCGCTGAGGCTGGTCTGGGGGGGGGGGGCTTGATGGGGGGGCACAGGCCTCCCGCCTCGCTTGCTGCCTCCACACGTTCCCATGGTCCTGGAGGCCACCGTCATCCCTCCACCCTTAGGACTGCAGATCTGACCCTGATCCCCAGCCTGGTGCTGATGGCTCACACCTGTAATCCTAGCAGCTTCAAAGCCAACCTAGGAAGGAAAGTCTGTGAGGCTCTTATCTCCAATTAACCACCAAGAAGCCAGAAGTAGAGCTGTGATTCAAGTGTGCTAGCGTTGAGCAAAACAAATGCTCAGGAATAGCACCCAGGCCCCAAGTTCAAGTCCCAGGACCAGCACCAGAGTCCCCACATGAGGGGCTGGAGGCCCCTCGCCACGCTCACGGCGGCCCCTGCACAACGCTCTGGTGGTGCCCGCCCGCCCGTCACTTCAGGAGCCCTGCTTCCCCTCATGCTGTCCCCAGGAGACGCTCAGAAAGGTTAAGGAGAAGTGAAGGCAATTTAACATCGTTGGGTTCAGAAAAACTGCAAGTGCTCAAGCTCATGAGGGCAGATTCCACTCAAAGCCACACTGTCCACAAACACATTTTCAGTTCAGTTTTTATTAGTAGGAAACAAGAAGTCCAACTAACTGGTAATTTCCAGTGATGTATGATCTCAGTGAAATGGCTCAGCCACTGACGTCAGCTTCAGGTTGGAGGCGTGGAAGAGGGCTTTCCTTGGCTTGCATGCCAGCTAGGTGGCAGAGGGGGCTCAAAGGTGAAGAGTGTCTTCTCGCCTTGGGAGGGACTGCAGGACGTGGCGCTGGAGCTTGCTTATTTCCACAGCTCCCCAAGTGGCCTCTGCACGGCTCTGAGGATGGCATCCTCAGAGAGCGCGCAGATTTCCTGATGGATGTCCTCAATGCTTTTGGAAGCATCAACCACCTGTTCAGCAGAGGGTACAGGAAAAAAGACCCTCTGGCCACCTTCCTCTGCCAGGGTGGTGAGGGCCCTGAACCCCGTCACAGGAGTGCGGTCTGCACCGCTGCCACCGACACAGAAGGAAGACCAGGTGCAGCTGCCCGCCGTGCCCCGAGCCAGCCGTGACTGTCCCTCAGTTGACAAGTGAGAAAAAGGTGCCGGCTTCCTCAGGGCGGCTGCCCCCGTCCCCGAACCCTGCTTCCAGAAGGGAGCTATACTGTGGGACCTGCTCAGGAGTTGAAGGCTGTCCTAACTCAGCTGTGCTGCCTGTGCCTTGTGGAGAATCAGAACAGGTAGAAATCTCAATACCAGAAGAAAGCCAGGTGAGGAAATCAGAGGTACATGCCAGTGCTGGGGCCTGAACTCAGGGCCTGGCGCTGTCCCTCAGCTCTTTAGCTCAAGGCGAGCGCTCCCACCTGAGCCACAGCACCACTTCTGGCTCTTTCTGCTTATGTGGTGCTGAGGAGTCGAACCCAGGGCCTCATGCATGTGAGGCGAGTGGTCTACCACTGAGCTGCCTTCCCAGCCTGCCAGTGCTTAGATATCTCTTCTGCTGTGCACCTGGGGCGGCCCTCAGCTCTGTGGGGCTAAGACCCTTTCCAGCACATTTTGGAAAATCTCCCAGGGCTAAGGCACATGGAGTCTAAGCATCGCTTAGGGCTGTGACCCTATGTGAAGGAAAATACTTCCTCACGTGTACCAACGCCAGCCCCTGCTCAGACCCTCCAGGATGGCATCTGGGCCTGCTCACCGCTCGAGAAAATGAGCATTTCAAGGGGAAGGGCACGGTCAACTGATTTTGTTTTTCTTGTGTTGGTCCTGGCCTTGAACTCAGGGTCTAGGCACTATCCCTGAGCTTTCTTTGCTCAAGCCTGGCATTCTACCACTTCAGCAGTTCAGCTGTACTCCAGCCTTTTGATAGTTAATTGGCGTTAAGAGTCTCATAGACGTTTCGGCTTAGGCTGGCTATGAACTGTGATTTCAACCTTTTTAGAACAGTTAGGATTACAGGTGTGCGCAACCAGTGCCTAGCCTGTTATCTGTTCTAAAACATAAGCTGCAAAGCTTATGAGCAAAGATACTACAGACACAGTGTCTACAAAGAGCCTGGGGCCAGCTCTGCGGGAGCTCACGAGACAGGGTCTGCTGTGGGCAGCCGGTATGCAGGGAAGAGCTGGAGTCGTGGCGAGAACAAGGCATGGAAAGGGGCGGCGCCCACGTGCCTGGGGAGAAGGGAGGGTGAGGCTGAGGTCAAAGAACCAACTAGAAGCAGCAGCACCAAAGGGAGGCCCGGTACGGGCACTGGTGAGCGCCAGGCTACGGTCACCACAGCCTGTGGGGCGCCACGTACAGGGTGGGGATAGTCCAGCCGTGACTCTGCAGCAGCCCTGGATGGCACTGGCCAGGGGCCAGCAGGAACAGTGTGTTCTGTAGACTGAAAGGGCAGTAAGACAAGTCTGAGAACTGACCCCTCCTGACAGCATGACCTGAACATGGGAACAATACCTAAGCACTTCTGCGATAAGAAGGATGGAAGGCGAAGAGTGTGTGCAGTGGCTTGTAGGACTACACACTCCAAATGATGGCGGCTGTGGCTAAAGCCTTGCAGAGGACAAGATGGAGGAGTGGGCTGGGCCGATGTCTATGGAGGGACGCATGCAAGGAACTGCTCCTCCAACTCTGGCCCCAGACAAGGCACGAAGTCTCGATACTTTGAAGAACCACGGGGGATTAAGTTTGCCATCATGGGGCCGAGTGCCTTCATCCCTCCCCAGCTGCTGGGAAATGCACACTGGAAAACTAGCCTCCACCCATCTGTACAGGTAGACTGACCTTCCAGTTCAAGGTCGTGTCTCTCATGAGCTGCTGGAAACACTGCAGCGCCCGCTCCTGGGCAGCCCCGTTCTCGTACCGCTCGCGGCCAAACTCCCCCCTGGTTGCAGCCTCCCCCAGTTGTAACTGAAGGAACAGGATCAGGTCAGGTTTGGGAAGGCCCACATCCGGCTGCTTGCACCAATCCAAGGAAAAGTTCTGCCAACAAAGAACCCAACAGCAGGCAAAAACAAGCTGAGTGAGGTCTAATCTAAAAGTCGGGGCTGGGAAGGTGGCTCAGTGGTACAGAGCTTGCCTTGCATGCCTGAGGCCCTGGGTTTGATTCCTCAGCACCACATAAGCAAAAAGAAAAAAGCCGGAAGTGGTGCTGTGGCTCAAGTGGTAGAGCGTTAGCCTTGAGCTGAAGAGCTGAGGGACAGCGCCCAGAGTTCAGGCCCCACGACCGGAGCAAAAAAAAAAAAAAGTCATAAAAGTCATTTTTAGTGAGACACAAAGTACAGTTAGTGAGCATTTTTGTACAGCAGCGGCTTTTCCAATGGCGGGTCTCCCCTGCACCACCTGCTGGCTTCCCTGAGCGATTACCTTGTGTGTGAATGGTGTCCGTGCACGTGCACCAGCACCCGTACCACAGGGTGGGTAGCGGCCAGAGACCGCTCCAGACCTTCCCAGCAAGAAAGCACAACCCAGCCAAAGCTGCAGGCAGAGAGCAAATGGCACAAGACAGGCACTAGGCCCTGGCCATCCCCTTCCACCCACAGGTCTCCTGGGAAGAGCACTGCCGCCCGTCTGGCAGGGCTGTGCCAATCTCATGGCGTTCCCACTTACCAACCGGCTCAGGTCACTAAAAATGGTGCCCTCATTTCTGAAAAAAAGCTAGGCTAGAAAGCCCTCTCAGGACAAGGCACACACCGTGGTGAGGACACAGGGTCTGTGGAGTCAGCACACAGACATTAGGACGTCGGGAGACCACCTGGAAATACGCCCATAGCATGCTGATGTTTGCTTTGTCTTCTGTTTTTGTTGGTCGTGGGGCTTGAACTCGGGGCCTGGCGCTGTCCTTGCGCTCTTCAGCTCAAGGCGAGTGCTCTACCACTTGAGCCATAGCACCACTTCCGGTTTTCTGGTGGTTTATTGGAGGTAAGAATCTCACGGACTTTCCTGCCCGGGCTGGCTTTGAACTGTGATCCTCAGATCTCAGCCTCTTGAGTAGTTAGGATGACAGGCGTGAGCCACCAGTGCCCGGCTGCTGTCTTCTGAATGGTATAAAACCATACAAACCAAGTACTCCATTGGGAAGAGACTTCACATAATACAAGAGACAGAGGGCGGGTGCCTACTACCCTATCTACTGCAAGGCTGAGGGCTAGAGGGATGGCTCAAGTGCTAGAGGGCCAGCCAATGAATGAAAGCTCAGATACCAAGGCCAAGTCCCAGTCTCAGACAAAAAGGCTGGTCAGGAAAGCCTCCAAAAAGCTGGAAGTGGAACTGTAGCTCAAGTGGTAGACCACTAGTCTTGAGAGAAAAAGCTAATGGACAGTATCCAGTCCTGAGTTCAAACCACAGAATCAGTATCAAGGGAAAAAAGAAAAAAAAAAAAGGCCAATTAAAAGGCTATGTAGCCGGGCACCAGTGGCTCAGCCTGTCATCCCAGATACTCAGGAGACTGAGATCTGAGGATCATGGTTGAAAGCCAGCCCAGCCCAGAAAGTCCGTGAGACTCTTATCTCCAATTAACCACCAGAAAAAAATGGAAGTGGTGCTGTGGCTCAAGTGGTAGAGCACTCGCCTTGAGCTGAAGAGCTGAGGGATAGCGCCCAGGATCTGAGTTCAAGCTCACAACCAACAAAAAGAAAAGAAAAAAGACTATGTATGTATATATAGCCTCACACCTATAATCCTAAGATCTAAGGATTGTGGTTCAAAGCCAGTTTAGGTAGTTCAGGCATTGTGGATTGTGGTAGAGCACTAGCCTTGAGCAAAAGATCTCAGGGATAGCACCCAGACCTTTCAGTTCAAGTCCTAGGACTGACAAAAATAAAAAAGGGATTTTTCTTTCAACTAATCATCACCATGGGATGCTATCACAAAAAGACAAACACCACCTGCCTTTTGTTGAGAGGGCCAACACTCTTCAAATTAAGCTTGCAAAAATAAAAGGTTTTCATTTGGTGTTCGGGCTTGAACCCAGGACCCCACCTAGTAAGCAATGGGCCCCAAATAAACTGTACAATGTTAATGAAAGGAAAAGACAGGACTTTAACTGAATTCTGGTTCAATATAACTAAATATAAACAGGATGATCAAATAGCTTTTGAGAGAGCTGGGAAGTTTGTACTACTGCTTAATAACACTACAGAATGGACTGCTTTTTAGAGCCAGGCCCCAGAGGCTCAACCCTGTAAACCTAGCTATTTGAGAGGCTGAGATCTGAGGATCATGGTTAGAAGCCAGCCTGGGCAGAAAAGTCCACGACACTCTTATCTCCAATTAACCACTCAAAAAACTGGAAGTGGCCGGGTGCCGGTGGCTCACGCCTGTCATCCTAGCTACTCAGGAGGCTGAGATCTGAGGATCGCAGTTCAAAGCCAGCCTGGGCAGCAAAGTCCATGAGATTCTTATCTCCAATAAACCACTAGAAGACCAGAAGTGCCGCTGTGGCTCAAGCGGTAGAGTGTAGGGACAGCGCCCAAGGCCAGAGTTCAAGCCCCATGACAACAAAAACAAAAAACTGGAAGTGTAGCTGTGGCTCAAAGTGGTAGTGCGCTAGCCTTGAACGGAAGAGCTCAGGGACAGTGCCCAGGCCCTGAGTTTAAGCCCCACAACTGACAATAAATAAATAACTAAATAAATAACTGCTCTTTAAAGGTAAGAGTATGTTTCTAAAACGTTTTAAAAATGAGCACTGAAATATTCATAAAGAAGTGCTAGACTTCTCTGATGTGTCACAAAGGAACCAGAGGGTCCGTGAGGCTGGGGACTCCCATTTTCAAGTTTTAAAAATAGGAAGCAAGGGCTGGGAAGGTGGCTCAGTGGTAGAGCGCTTGCCTTGCATGCCTGAGGCCCTGGGTTCAATTCCTCAGCACTACATAAGCAAAAAGAAAAAAGCCGGAAGTGGTGCTGTAACTCAAGAGGTAGAGCGCTAGCCTTGGGCTGAAGAGCTGAGGGACAGCGCCCAGGCCCAGAGTTCAGGCCCCATGACCGGACCCCCAGTAAAAAAAGGAAGCAAGCTAGCCAATAGTGGCTCATGCCTATAATTGTAGCTATTCAGGAGGCTGAGATCTGAGGATCATGGTTCAAAGCTAGCCCAGGTAGAAAGGACTGTGAGACTCTTACCTCCAATTAACTACCAGAAAACCAGAAGTGGCGCTGTGGCTCAAGTGGTAGAGCGCTAACCTTGAGCTGAAGGCTCAGGGATGGTGCCCAGGCCCAGTTTAAGCCCCACGACCAACACACACAAAAAGAAGTAACTTGGAAGGTAGAGGCAGGCAGATCATCAGCGTGAGGCCAGTCCTGGCTACAGAGGAAGCCTGTGTCTCAAAAACCAAGACAAAAAATCAGAAAGGGCCAGCGCAGTCCAGTCCACCACTATGATACATTATGGAAGCTCCCTGGCACAGGGGACCAGTTCAGGAAAGTTCTACTTGTTCATGACATGTAGACACAAAGCAAGGCTATGAAAAAGCATACTGCCAACCAACCATCCTTGATGTGCAGTGAAACCACCCAAATAAAAGAAGCTGTATCTGTGAAGACACCTTGCATCCCCATAAGTCTTTCCTTATTGACCAATGGTTACACTTAAGAACTGTCTCCTTGGCCGGGCACCGGTGGTTCACACCTGTCATCCTAGCTACTCAGGAGGCTGAGATTTGAGGATCGCAGTTCAAAGCCAGCCTGGGCAGGAAAGTCCGTGAGACTCTCATCTCCAATAAATCAGACGAAAACCAGAAGTGGTGCTGTGGCTCAAGAGGTAGAACGCTCACCTTGAGCTGAAGAGCTGAGGGACAGCGCCCAGGCCCAGAGTTCAAGCCCTACCACCGACAAAAAAAAAAATTGTCTCCTCCAAGGAGGGGTGACTGTGCTTCCGTGTGGCAGCCGTCCCTGCGGGCTGCCAGGACCGCCCCTGGCCACACACCGGCCGCCCCCGTGGGCACCACAGCACTTACCTCCTTGGCACTCGTAAAGGCAACACCAGAAAACGCATATCTGTCCACAACAAGAGTCACACCTTGGCTCAACTTCTCTTTCATCAATGGCCTGAAAAACAGAATACTCCTGAGCCCCAGAACTAATTTGTATCTTGTTTCTTCATGCTCTAATTGTCCTAATGGTGCAATTCACGCATGCTTTTTTGTTTGGGGTTTTTTGTGTCCATTCTGGGGCTTCAACTCTGGGCCTGTCTCTCAGCTCTTTAGCTCAAGGCAAGCACTTGAGCCATAGCACCACTTCCAGTTTTCTGGTGGTTAATTGGAGATAAGCATATCTCGGACTTTCCTGCCAGAGCTGGCTTTGAACTGCAATCCTCAGATCTTAGCCTCCTGAGTAGCTAGGATTACAGGCATGAACCACTGGCGCAAAGCGCACATAATTTGTGTGTTTGTGTGTCTCAGCCGTGGGGCTTGAACTCTGGGCCTGTGTGCTGTCCCTCAGCTCTTCAGCTCAAGGCGAGTGCTCTACCACTTGAGCTCAAGCGCCACTTCTGGTTTTCTGGTGGCTTATTGGAGGTAAGAGTCTCAAGGACTTTCCTGCCATGGATGGCTTTGAACCACGATCCTCAGATCTCAGCTTCCAGAGTAAACAGGATTACAGGCGTGAGCCACCAGTGCCTGGCATGATTTTTTTTACACTGTATTTTCATTTAAAATAAGATGCACTGTATTTTTCCCTGGGCACTAGACTCCCAGCAGAACTCAGCAGGGCTAACCTCACTAAGCAGGGGCAAGCCCAGATAAAGCTGTAACAGAGGCGCCCTCAGCTGCTGACTCGAGGGGCTAGTCAGCACCCCACTTCCGCAGGCGGAGGCAGTGGAGGACAGGGAGTGGGACACCAGGAGCGGTCAGTGATGCTTCCATCTCAAGCCTGACCTTCAAGTACAAAGATGGACAGAGGTTAAGGATGTCCTCAACTACACAGCCTCCGCTATCATCCCCAAGGCACTGAAATCCAGATGTGCACACACGCCAACAGGCTAACAGCCCATCTCACTGGAAACCTTCCAGTGACAGACAAAACCGCAGTTGCCTGGCCTCTGAGCAAGGGGTAGAGGCCACGCAGAAATGGTCATAAAACCCACTTCATAGGACTAACTCACATGGGCCACAGACATAAATTTAAAGTACATCGTGCCAAAAGAAAACAAGAAGAGGGGCTGGGAAGGTGGCTCAGTGGTAGAGTGCTTGCCTCGCATGCATGAGGCCCTGGGTTCAATTCCTCAGCACCACATAAGCAGGAAAAAGCCAGAAGTAGTGCTGTGGCTCAGGGGTAGGGCACTAGCCTTGAGCTGAAGAGCTGAGGGACAGCACCCAGGCCCAGAGTTCAGGCCCCACGACCGACCAAAAACAAAAACAAAAAAAAACAAGAGTGCTTGCCTGGCATGCATGAGGCCCTGGGTTCGATTCCTCAACACCACATAAGCAGGAAAAAGCCAGAAGTAGTGCTGTGGCTCAGGGGTAGGGCACTAGCCTTGAGCTGAAGAGCTGAGGGACAGCACCCAGGTCCAGAGTTCAAGCCCCATGACTGACAAAACAACAACAACAAAAAAACAAGAGGCTGGGTGACAATGGCTCACACCCATAATCCCAGCTACTCAAGATGAGATCTGAGGCTCAAGGCTCAAAGCCAGCCCAGACAGAAACGTCTGTGAGACTCATCTCCTACTAACCACTAAAATTCAGAAGTGGAGCTGTGACTCATGTGATAGAGCACTAGCCTTAAGCACAAATGCTCAAGGACAGTGCCAGGCCCAGAGTTCAAGCCCCAGGACTAACAAGATATAGAAAAGTCTAATGGACTTTCCTGCCTGGGCTGGCTTGGAACCCTAACCTTCAGATTTCAGCCTCCTGAATAACTAGGACTACAGGCATGAGCCTGTTCCAGTATCAGTACTGCATACTGTACAGTCCAGTATACTACCCCTGTATCAGTACCCAGCTAAAATAAAAAAATCTCAAGATACTGGGCTGGGAATGTGGCTTAGTGGTAGAGCGCTTGCCCCACATGCATGAAGCCCTGGGTTTGATTCTTCAGCACCACATACACAGAAAAGCTAAAAGTGGCACTGTGGCTCAAGTGGTAGAGTGCTAGCCTTAAGCAAAAGAAGCTCAGGGACAGTGCCTAGGCCCTGAGTTCAAGCCCCAGGACTGGCAAAAAATAAATTCTCAAGATGCAAGAATAGGAAAACAAACATTACTGAGGGGCGAAGTTCGTGACAGACCACTAATGAAAAAGAAGAACTCCAATAAAAATGGCCTTTAGCTGACACTTCATCCAAAATAAACAGATGGCAAATAAACATATAAACTTCTACGTTAATTAGAACGAGATGGCAAATAAACATATAAACTTCTACGTTAATTAGAACGAGAACCCAGGTGACAGGGACTGAGGTCCATGGTACTCCATTTCCAAATTGGCCAGCAAAATGCTGAGCTGGAGGCATGTCTCCAGTGGGTAGAGCAGGAACTACAGACAAGCAACTGACCGCATGAAGCCAGGGTCCAAGCCCCAGTGCAGGCCCATGTGCCATGTTCACACACATACAAACGAGATAAAATGCCACCATGCCCCTTGTAGATCGGCCAACATCTGGAAGCCAAGGGCCGGTGAGGATATGGGTTACACATAACTTGTGGGAATATAAAATACGCCACTTTGGAAGACTAAACACGCCATGCAATCCATCGATAGCTTTATTCATGATTGCAAAACCTTGGAACCAAGACATCCTTCAGTAGCTAAGTTATAAGCTGCACTCCAATGAAATACTAAGAAGCATTCAACAGAAATAAATTCTCAAGTGATGAAATGACATAAGAAAAATGAATACAAATCAGCTGGCAAATCAGCAACCTGCGCCAGGCAAGGTGGCTCACGCCTGAAATCCTAACTGCTCAAGAGGCTCAGATCTGAAGATGGAGGTCTGAAGCCAACCTAGGTAAGAGAGTCCATGACTCTTATCTCCAATTAACTACCAAAACAGCAGGAAGTGGAACTGAGGCTCAAGTGGTAGAGTACCAGCCTTGAGCTACCAAAGCTCAGAGACAGTGCGGTACCCAGGGCCTGAGTTCAAGCCCCAGGACTAGCAAAAAAAAAAGTTAAAAAGGCAGCAATCTGTGCAGAAGAGATGGACAGTGATGCAGACTAAGGTCTGACCACTATTTATAAAGTACAATCAGGCATATTCTCCTTTTCAAATTAAGACATCTGAGTCATATTACTTTTTTCAAAGCTCTCACAGAAAGTCAACAATTACCTCTATAAATTCTAGATGTATAAAATATTATAAAAATGGTCTCTTGTTCACCAAAAATGTGGAATGAGGAAAGCCACTCAATGCAAGACAAAGAACTAAGTCTGGAGACTAATGCAGAGAAGGGGAGGAAACGTACAGGAGCACAGGGAGCAGGTGAAATGCACCTCCCAACAACCTCTCCTGCTCCACAGGGTCTGCAGGCAGGCAGAAAGGTGTCCAGTGAACTGGATGGCATGATCCATTCATATTAAACAACATCCACACAAACTGGGAGCTGGTCTCACTCCTGTAACCTGGCCACTCTCCTAGGATATGAGGATCATGGTGCCAAGCCAGACAGGCAGGAAAGTCTGTGAATTATTATTATTTTTTGGCCAGTCCTGGGGCTTGAACTCAGGGCCTGGGCACTGTCCCTAAGCTTCTTTTGCTCAAGGCCAACACTCTACCACTTGAGCCACAGGGCCACTTCTGTTTTTTTCTGCTTATGTGGTACTGAGGAATCAAACTCAGGGCCTCACACTAGGCAAGCACTCTACCACTAAGACACATTCCTAGCCCCTCTGTGAATCTCTTATCTCCAATTTACCACCAAAAAGCCAGAAGTGGAGCTGGGCTCAAGTGATAGAGTGACAGCCTTGAGCAAAAACTAAGGGATATGAGCTTAGGGACTGGCTCAGATGGTATAATGCTAGCCCATAAGTCAAAGTTTCAGGTAATGAGTCTCGGTCTCAAACCAAAAAAAAAAAAAATTTTCATGCTAAGGGGGGAGTGCCCAGGCCCTGAGTTCAAGCCCCAGTACTGGAGCGCAGGCCCACAAAAACTACAAAAAACTACTACAGGAAGCCCCACATGCGTTATCTACTTATTGAAAGTGTAAACAAAATCATGTGAAAGGATACACCAGTCACTTGATACATAAAATATTAGTGGAGACAATATCTAGTATGATAAAAGGAGGTGAAGACGGTAAATGCTAATACTCTGATTTATGTTCCAATACTGGTTATCAACCCTAATGACACAAATAAATGGGAAGCTAGGTGTTGTGTCCTATGCACATGATCCCAGCACTTGAGGCTGAGACAAAAGAATTTAAAATTTCAGGCCAACCATACACAGCAAGATGCTATTTAAAAAAAAAATGTGTTTAAGCAGGGCACCAATGGCTCACGCCTGTAGTCCTAGCTACTCAAGAGGCTGAGATCTGAGAATCATGGTTCAAAGCCAGGCCAGGTAAAAATGAGGCTCTTATCCCCAGTCAACCTCCAGAAAACCAGAAGTGGAGCTGTGGCTCAAACTGGTAGAGTGCTAGCCTTGAGTGATAAAGCTCAGGGGCAGCGCCCAAGCCCTGAGTTCAAGTCCCATGACCGCCCCCCGCCCCCAAATGCTTAAGGAAGGAGGACACGCAGTGATTTTTCTCGCTGGAGGCTGTGGGGCTGCGCATCCTCGACTCACAGGGCTGCTGAGTGCTGAGCCCCTGGGCACTGGGCCACCCTCTCCCTTCCCTCCATCCTGCAGCACTCAGCCCTGGCCAGCTCGGGCAGGGGTCTGTGTTTACACTTGCTCCCAGCGGTTCGCGGAGAAAAGCAGGTGCACGGAGTGATCCTCCAGGTCACTTTTTCTTTCCAGGTAGGAACTCAGAAGTTTGCCAATTTCAGTTGATCTTTCTAGAACAAAGAAAAGCCTGCTCAAGTTAGGCTGCCCGTGTGAGTGAGCGCTCGGCTGACGCCCAATTTCTCACTCAGGATTCATTCTGCCAGATCCCCAGAGGCCACGTCCTTTGGAGTGGCCTGGGGCGGCGGCCACACCGGGGAGAGGCCGGGGCTGGGGGCGGCGGCCACACCGGGGAGAGGCCGGGGCTGGGGGCGGCGGCCACACCGGGGAGAGGCCGGGGCTGGGGGCGGCGGCCACACCGGGGAGAGGCCGGGGCTGGGGCGGCGGTCACGCCGGGGAGAGGCCGGGGCTGGGGGCGGCGGTCACGCCGGGGAGAGGCCGGGGCTGGGGGCGGCGGCCACGCCGGGGAGAGGCCGGGGCTGGGGCGGCGGCCACACCGGGGAGAGGCCGGGGCTGGGGGCGGCGGCCACACCGGGGAGAGGCCGGGCCTGGGGCGGCGGCCACGCCGGGGAGAGGCCGGGGCTGGGGGCGGCGGCCACACCGGGGAGAGGCCGGGGCTGGGGCGGCGGTCACGCCGGGGAGAAGCCGGGGCTGCGGGCGGCGGCCACACCGGGGAGAGGCCGGGGCTGGGGCGGCGGCCACACCGGGGAGAGGCCGGGGCTGGGGGCGGCGGCCACGCCGGGGAGAAGCCGGGGCTGGGGCGGCGGTCACGCCGGGGAGAGGCCGGGGCTGGGGCGGCGGCCACGCCGGGGAGAGGCCGGGGCTGGGGCGGCGGTCACGCCGGGGAGAGGCCGGGCCTGGGGCGGCGGCCACGCCGGGGAGAAGCCGGGGCTGGGGCGGCGGCCACACCGGGGAGAGGCCGGGGCTGGGGCGGCGGTCACGCCGGGGAGAGGCCGGGGCTGGGGCGGCGGCCACGCCGGGGAGAGGCCGGGGCTGGGGCGGCGGTCACGCCGGGGAGAGGCCGGGGCTGGGGCGGCGGCCACGCCGGGGAGAGGCCGGGGCTGGGGGCGGCGGTCACGCCGGGGAGAGGCCGGGGCTGGGGCGGCGGCCACGCCGGGGAGAGGCCGGGGCTGGGGCGGCGGGCTGGGGCGCGCGTCCGCGCGGGCTCTCCGCCAACCCCCTCTTGTTCCCGCTAGCCCGCGCCCCGCGCCCCGGCTGAACCCCGAGGGCCTCGGTGCGAAGCCCGCGCGGCTCTCGAGCGGCCGGGCGCCAGGGCTGAGCGGAACGGCGCGCGCGGCCCACGCCACGCACAGGGCGGCGGGCGGGGCGCGCGTGGCAACAGGGAGCCCGGGTCAGGGCGCAGCCGGGTGGCGAGAAACACGGCACGCGAACGCCAAGGCGGCGCCCGGGAGCCCTGCCGGCAGCCCGCCCGCCCGCCCCGCACGCCGCCCCGCACGTCCGCCCGCCCGCCGCCCCGCACGTCCGCCCGCCGCCCCGCACGTCCGCCCGCCGCCCCGCACGTCCGCCCGCCCGCCGCCCCGCACGTCCGCCCGCCGCCCCGCACGTCCGCCCGCCCGCCGCCCCGCACGTCCGCCCGCCGCCCCGCACGTCCGCCCGCCGCCCCGCGCACCAGGGAAGCGCAGCAGCTCGGCCCGGTGACCCGCGGCGCACAGCGCGGACACCAGCTTTCGGCCCTGCGTGCTCTTGCCCGCGCGGTCCACGCCCTCCAGCACGATCAGCGCCCCGCGGGGGCCCGCCATGGCGCCGGTCCGCCCGCGCCACCCGCGCCACTCCCGCCGGCGCCCGCGCCCGCGCCGGCGCCCGCGCCCGCGCCGCCGCCCGCTGCGATTGGCTGGGCTGGAAGGTCGTGGCCTGGCAGGGGTGTGGCCGGCGGAGGGCGAGATCCGCCTGGGCGTGTCCTACAGGGCGTGGTCTGAGGGACGGTGCCGCCCCTTCCGGGTCGGAAGCGCCGGCGGTCGACTCCCCCGCGCTGCCGCCGCCAGCGGAAGGCCAGCCGCGAGTTCAAGTCCCCAGAGACGCGCGCCCGTGACCCCGCGCAGCGCCTGCCCTTCCCGAGCTCCCCGAGGGAGGCACGCGTCAGCGAGGACGCGGGGATCGAGCTGTTCTCTAAGGCTCCCTTTGCTGCCCTGGGGGCGTGCCGCGGCGCCGACCGCGTCCCGGGCTCGCCGGGGGCCCCTGAGGGAGCGCGTTTCCACCTGCGTGCGCCTGCGCGTGCGCCAGCGGCTCGCAGGGGGCTCCTGAGGGAGCCCGCCCCGCCGCCGGCCCGAGCGGGCGTGTCCAGCTGCTGCGCGTGCGCGTGCGCCCCTGGCTCGCCGGGGGGGGGGGGGCCCCTGAGGGAGCGCGTTTCCAGCTGCGTGCGCCTGAGCCTGCGCGTGCGCCCCTGGCTCGCCGGGGGCACCTGAGGGAGCGCGTTTCCAGCTGCGTGCGCCTGCGCCTGCGCCTGCGCGTGCGCCCCTGGCTCGCCGGGGGCCCCTGAGGGAGCGCGTTTCCAGCTGCGTGCGCCTGCGCCCCGGCTCGCAGGGGGCCCCTGAGGGAGCCCGCCCCGCCGCCGGCCCGAGCGGGCGTGTCCAGCTGCCGCGCGTGCGCAGCGCCTGCGGCCGCCCGGGAGCCTCTTCCTCGGCGGTGAGAGCCGCGGACGTTCCTGCCCGGGCTGGCTTCGAACCGTGAGCCTCAGATCCAGCCTCCCGAGTAGCTAGGATGGCCGCGTCGCTTTGTAGCTTCCGGGGGACCCGCCCAGACCTGGTTTCTTCCTGAGCTTGACCTTGTGGCCTCCGCAGGCCAGGGCCCCTCTGCAGGTGACTCACCTGTAACCCTGGCGACTCGGGAGGACCACAGTTCAAAGCCACCCAGGGCAAAAAGTCTTTCAGACTATTTCCAGTTAACTAGCAAAGATGCTGGCCTGGGGTGTGAGCACTAGCTATGCGCGAGCAAGTGAGCAAGGCCCTTAGGCAAGCTAAGGATCTAGGATGTGGCCGCAGGACCGGGCCCTGGAGGCTCACCCGCGTCATCCTAGCTACTCGGGAGGCTGAGATCTGAGGATCAGAATTCTAAGCCAGCCCAGGTAGGCGTTAACCACCAAAAAAGCTGGGGGTGGAGCTCGAGCTCAAGTAAAAAAGCCAAGGGGCAGTGCCAAAGCCCTGCATTCAAGCCCCACTTCTGGTACAAAAATAAGCAAACATATAGTTGTCCTTTTATGGTTTGGCTATCCTTTTCCTGGCCTTCCACTTAGAAATGTGCAGTTAGGGTCCACCTTTATACACAGATCTTGCAATGAAGGCACAGGAAAAACAGCTGCAGCTCTGCAAATCTGAGTCAGCCTTAGCACAAGCTAATGAAGATAACCAAGAATGGTATAGTGAGCACAGAAAAAAGCCTGGCTAGCCACAGATTCAACAACCCTCACCATGTCTTTGAGGCCCATGAACATCTCTGGAAGAGTTGTGCATGAACGGTGGACTGATAGGAACCAGCTTGCAGTCTGAGGGTTTAATTGACCCATGGAGACTCATACAGTCCATGTGGAACCTACAATGATTTTATGTGTGTACATGCACCAACACTGGGGCTTGAATTCCGTGCCTATGTGCTGTTCTTGTGCTCTTGTGGTCAAGGCTAGCCCTCTTATTTGAGCCACAGCTCCACTTCTGGCTTTCTCCTGGTTAACTGGAGATAAGAGTCTCATGTAGGGCTGGGAAGGTGGCTCAGTGGTAGAGCGCATGCCTTGCAAGCAGGAGGCCCTGGGTTCGATTCCTCAGCACCACATAAACAGAAAAAGCCAGAAGTGGCGCTGTGGCTCCCTCCAGTTGTATAGCACTAGCCTTGAGCTGAAGAGCTGAGGGACAGCGCCCAGACCCAGAGTTCAGGCCCCATGACTGGCAAAAAAAAAAAAAAAAGTCTCATGTACTTTCTTGGAACCATGATCCTCTGCTCTCAAGATTACAACTTGAGGGTTATGTATTTCACTCGTAAAGACATCTTATTAACCCCTACACAAGACATCAGGTGGTGTCATCCAGTCTAGCAGGACCTCAGCTTATCTTTTTCTTCCTTTTTTTTTGGGGGGGGGAGATCCGGTCGAGGGCCTGAACTCTGGGCCTGGGCGCTGTCCCTCAGCTCTTCAGCTCAAGGCTAGCGTTCTACCACTTGGTGCCACAGCGCACTTCCGGCTTTTTTTCCCCTGCATATGTGGTGCTGAGGAATTGAACCCAGGGTCTCATGCATGCAAGGCAAGCGCTCTACCACTGAGCCACCTTCCCAGCCCCTGCTTATCTTTTTCTTTAATAAATCTTTGCCATTTTTCTTTTCCCTCTGTGTCCATGGAGTCAGTCTTAAAGAATACAGACAGGGCGGTAGAGTGCTTGCCTCGCATACATGAGGCCTTGGGTTTGACTCCTTGGTACCACATAAATAAAATTATATACACACACACAGTATCTGTTCCAGGTGTTGCAGTTTTTCAGTATTGTGAGAATACATTTTTTTGTACTGGTCCTGGGACTTGAACTCTGCCTGGGTGCTGTCCCTGAGCTGCTTCGGCTCAAGGCTAGCGCTCTACTACTTGAGCCACTGGCTTTTTCTGAGTACTTTTATTGGAGATGAGTCTCACAGACTTTCTGGCTCAAGCTGACTTCCAACCACAATCCTCAGATCTTAGATTCATGAATAGTGAGTAGTTAGAACTACAAGCCCAGCAGTGTTGATACTTTTAACTGCTCAACTATTTTGGACCAACAGACATTCCCACAGATTGTGTGTTTTGTACTTTGGCCAAACCTAGGTTTCCTCAGACTTTTTCAGTCTTTGCCAACTTTTTTTTTTTTTTGTCGGTCATGGGGCTTGAACTCTGGGCCTGGGCGTTGTCCCTTAGCTCTTCAGCTCAAGGCGAGCGCTCTACCACTTGAGCTACAGCGCCACTTCCGGTTTTCTGGTGGTTTACTGGAGATAGGAGTCTCACGGTCTCTCCTGCCCGGGCTGGCTTTGAACCGCAATCCTCAGATCTCAGCCTCCTGAGTAGCTAGGATTACAGGCGTGAGCCACCAGCGCCTGGCTCAAGTCTTTGCCAACTTGTTAGGAAAAAAAGTAACAATACAACCTCAAATGTTTTACTTGTATTAATTATAGGTGAAACTAAAGATATATGAATATATTTGCATAAATATATGCATTTACTAGTATTTATGTGTGTGCCAGTTCTAGGACCTGAACTAAGTGCCTTGCACTCTCACTTGGATTTTATGCTCAAGGATGGCACTCTCCCACTTGAAACATACCTCCGCTTCCTTTTTTTTTTTTTTTTTTGTCGGTCATGGGGCTTGAACTCTGGGATTGGGCACTGTCCCTGTGCTCGGGCACTGTCCCTGTGCTCAAGGTAATCGCTCTACCACTTGAGCCACAGCGCTATTTCCCGTTTTCTAGTGGTTTATTGGAGATCAGAGTCTCAGGGACTTTCCTGTCCTGGCTGGCTTGAGATCCTCAGACCTCAGCCTCCTGAGTAGCTAGGATGACAGGCTGAGCCACCGCGCCCAGCCATTTTTTTGTTTTTGCTGGTTAACTGGAGATAAGAATCTCGAGGACTCGCCTACTGGAGCTGGCGCCAACTCACGATCTCAACCTCCTCTGTAGCTAAAATTATAGGTATGAGCTGCCAGCGTCTGGCTTCAGGTAAGTCCGTTCACACACACACCTTCCCCCACCGAGGATGGAACGAGCACCTCCTCTAAGGCAGCAGTTCCGCAAGCCACATCAGCCCTGTGGAGATAGGGTCTCCCTACACTCAGGCTGCCGCCCTCTGAACGCAGGGATTAAAGGTCTGCGCCACTAAACCAGTTTGTTTTCCAACATTTTCTTCGTGTTTTTCACCTATTCGGTTGGGTCTTCACGTCTTTCATGCCCGTCCTGGGGCTTGAGCTGGGGCTCAGTCCAGCCGAGAAGCGAAGCGAGATCCCCAGATGTCGCCTCCTGAGTCGCGAGGGTTACAGGCGTGCTCCCGCGGGGAGGTCGGCCCATCCTCGGCTCCCTGGGCCGCCGGGAGCCCGGAGCGAGGCGGGCGCAGGGTCCGGCCCGCGGTGGGGTGCGGGGCCCGGGGCGGGGCGGGCGCGGGGCCCGGGGCCGGGGTGGGGCGGGCGCGGGGTGGGGCGGGCGCGGGGCGGGACGAGGCGGGCGCGGGGCCCGGGGCGAGGCGGGCGCGGCGCGGCGCGGGGCGCGGCGGGCGCGGCGCGGGGCCCGGGGCGGGCGCGGGGCGCGGCGGGCGCGGGGCCCGGGGCGGGACGCGGCGGGCGCGGGACGAGGCGGGCGCGGGGCCCCCGCTGGCCGGCAGAGGCGGCGTGCCGACGCGGGGATCGGGCTGCGCCGCCCCCGGGAGAGCACCCGGCGGCCGCGGGCCAGGGCGGCGGCGGCTCCCGGCCACAGGCGGGGGAGCGCGGCGGGGCCGCACCGGGAGTCGCGCTCCCGGCCCAGGGTGAGCCCACGCCCGCCGAGGTGGCACGCGGGCGCGGACGGGGCCTCCACAGGGCCGCGCCGGGGGGATCCTCGCGCCGGCCCGCTCCCGCCCCGGCGCCGAGTCCGCGCTCTCACGCCCGGCAACGCCTCTCGCGGCGAGCCGGCCGGAAGTGTGGGGGCGGGGCCAGACTCGCCCCGCCCCCGCGACGTCCAATCGGCGCGCGCGGCTCATGAATAGTGAGCGCGCGGCGCCACCCCGCCCCCGTCCCGCGGCACCGCCGCCCGCGCAGACCCTGAGCGCTGCCGCGGTGAAGATGGCGACCGCTATGTACTTGGAGCACTACCTGGACAGTAAGCGCCCTGCACGCGCCGCCGCCCGTGCGGGCCTGCCCGCCGCAGACCCCGCGCGCCACGGCCCGCGCGCGAGCCCGGGGGCGTGGGTGGGGACGGGGGTTAGGACGGCCGGCGAGCCGGGCGGGCGGGCGGGCGGGGCCGGGCCGCGGGACGGCGGGCGGGCGGGCGGGCGCGTGGCGCGGGGTCCTCCGCCGCGGCCGCGCCAATTCCGAGTGCGTCACCGGGGGGTGGTGCTCCGGGCGCGGGGCGTGGCCCGCCCGGCCCCGCCCGCCGAGGCCCCGCCCCTGGCCCCGCCCCTGCCGCGGCCGCGCCGCCGGGGAGCGGGGTCTGGGGCGCGGCGGGGCCGCTGCGGCCTCGGCGTCCAGGCTGGGAGGCCCCTCCGCAGGAGGCCAGGCGCCGGCGGCCGGCGCGGAGGCCGCTGACCGGCTCTGGGTGGCCGGTGGACCCCGCCGTGCAGCGGGACAGCCGGGGCTTCCGGGACAGCGCGGTGCGGCGAGCCTGGCGCGGGCCGGAGCGCACTTCCCGCGAGCCTCCCCGTGGAGGGCTTGAAAGTCACAGAAGAAAGTTCCAGAATGCCGTAGGTTCCCCGGTGTCCCGCGTGGGGAGGCCGCGCCAGGGTCCGAGTGACATCCGGTGGGGGCCTGAGGACCGCGGGGCCGGGGCCGAGGCCCCTCCGGGAGGTGTCCAGAAAGCAGCGCCTGGAGGGTCAGCCTGGCGCACGGAAGCTGGGCGGTGCCCAGCCCCGCGTTCCAGCCCGGGCGCACACAGCCTGCACGCTGCGGGGAGCCGCCCAGCCCCGCGTTCCAGCCCGGGCGCACACAGCCTGCACGCTGCGGGGAGCGGAGGGCCCCCGCCCGGCGGCGGGAGGGCGGAGGGCGGCTCCGAGGCCGCCTCCCAGGGCCTGCGGGGCTGCGGGGCGGCGGGAGGGCGGAGGGCGGCTCCGAGGCCGCCTCCCAGGTCCTGCGGGGCTGCGGGGAGCGGGAGGGCGGAGGGCGGCTCCGAGGCCGCCTCCCAGGGCCTGCGGGGCTGCGGGGAGCGGGAGGGCGGAGGGCGGCTCCGAGGTGATGGTGGCCCCGGTTGGGTGGGCCTGTGGCTCTGTCGGTGGTGTGGAGGGAACTGGTTTACCCTTGGGTCACGCTTCCGTGCCTGTGGCCTGCAGCGCCCCGGGCTCGAGAATTCGGGGCAAAGGCAGAGATTCTGGCAGACTCGAGCCTTGGAGCTCGCAGTTCGTTGAGAGAAGCCATCCAGCCCTGGCTGTCTCCCCTCCCTCGGCTAGCAGCTGTTTCCTGCATTCCAGACTAACTTTGCTTGCTTCTAGAGGCTTCTGAAGCTTGTGAGCTTCTGTCAACACTGTGCTGCATCCTAAAAAGAAGTCAGTTCTTTTACTCCCCAAACCCAGAGATAGAAGACAAATTGGGCTGGCTGCTAAGACTTGTGGGTAAGGCTTGGGAGGCCCACCCGTCTTCCTGAGAGCTTTCATACCCCTTCCAGGCATTGAGAACCTGCCCTGCGAACTTCAGAGGAACTTCCAGTTGATGCGTGAGCTAGACCAGAGGACAGAAGGTGGGTCCGTCCAGAGCTGACCAGGGAGATGCAGGGTGGCAGAGAGCCGTAGCCCAGCTCAGGGCATGGTACAGTGTCCTCCAAGGAGTGCTGGTGTTTTTGTTCATAGTAGTTATTATTTGTTTTTTGAGATAGGCTGTCTCTTGTAGCCCAGGTTGGCCCAGAACTCTAGATCCCCCTTCCCCAGCCTCCTGAGTAGGAATGGGAAGAATGGAACACTGGCACTTTTCTTTTTCTGGCACCTGGATTTGAGCACTGGGCTTACTTGCCCATAGCTAGTGCTCTGCCACTTGAGCCACACGTCTAGCCCTGCTTTTTTAAGAGAGAGTTTCTCAGACTTTTCTGCTGGGTGCCTTTGAACCATGACCCTCCTGTGCAGTTAGGGGTATGAATGTGAGTCACTGGCAAGCAATGCTTCTGTGTGTGTGTGTGCGTGTGCGTGTGTGTGTGTGTGCAGACACCGGGGCTAGAACTATATTCTTTAGCTTTTTATTTACTTACTTTGTGTTGGTCCGAGGGCTTGGACTCAGGGTTTGGGCACTGTCCCTGAGCTTTTTTGTTCAAGACTAGCGCTCTGCCACTTGACTCACAGCTTCGCCTCTGGCTTTTGGGTGGTTAATTGGAGATGAGAGTCTCACTGACTTTCCTCCTAGGGCTGGTTTCGAACTTCAAGCCTCAGGTCTCAGCATCCTGAGTAGCTAGGATTACAGGCGTGAGCCCTGGTGTCCTGTGTTCTTTTAGCTTTTTTTGTTCACTTGCTTGGCTGGCTTGGGTGACATGCTACCGTTTGAGCCACAGCTCTACTTCTGGCTTTTTGCTGTATAATTGTAAATAAAAGATTCATGGAGCCAGGTGCTGGTGGCTCACACCTGTAACCCTAGCTTTTCAGGAGACTGAGATCTGAGGGTCGCCGTTCAAAGACAGCCTGGGCAGGAAAAAGTCCAGGAGACTCTTTATTTCCAATTAACCACTAGAAATCCAGAAGTGGCGCTGTGGCTCAAGTGGTAGAGCGCTTGCCTTGAGCTGAAGAGCTGAGGGACAGTGCCCAGGCTTAGAGTTCAAGCCCCACAACAACAACAACATAAAAAAGACTCATGGAGGGGTTGGGAAGGTGGCTCAGTGGTAGAGTGCTGGCCTAGCACGCATGAAGCACTGGCCTTGATTCCTCAGTACCGCATAGACAGAAAAAGCCAGAAGTGGCCCTGTGGCTCAAATGATACAATGCTAGCATTGAGCAAAAAACAAGCTCAGGGACAGTGCCCAGGCCCTGAGTTCAAGCTCCAGGACTGGGCAGAAAAAGAAAAGGACTTTCCTGTCCAAGCTGGGTTTGATCTGAGATTCTCAGAGCTCAGCCTGCTGAGTAGGTTTACATGCATGAGTCACTGGTACCCAGCTTAGCACTGGTACTTGTTAAAGTCAGGTGTAAGCTGGGTGCCAGTGGCTCCATGCCTGTAATCCTATCTACTCAGCCTGGGCAGGAAAGTCTGTGAGACTCTTATCTATCTCCAGTAAACCACCAGAAAACCGAAGGTAGTGCAGTGGCTCAAGTGGTAAAGGGACAGCACCCAGGCCCAGAGTTGAAGCCCCATGGCCAGGAAAAAAAAAAGATTATTTTTGTTCCCTTAGTATTTAATTCTTGTTCCTAAACCACATATTCTTTTTTTTTTGTCAGTCTTGGGGCCTGAACTCTGGGCCTGGGCACTGTCCCTCAGCTCTTCAGCTCAAGGCTGGTGCTCTACCACTTGAGCCACAGCGCCACTTTGGCTTTTTCTGCTTATGTGGTGCTGAGGAATGGAACCCAGGGCCTCAGGCATGTGAGGTGAGCACTCTACCACTGAGCCACCTTCCCAGCCCCTAAACCACATGTTCTTGTTGTCCTTTCTCATTTCCAGTAAGTTTCAGACTTGGTTTAGTTCATTGCAGTTGAAGAACTCCTCTGCACGCCCTTCCATCTGTGGCAGTCTTGTCGTTAGCAGATAGTTAAAACTGCTACCCAGTTGTGTGTTTACCTGACACTTTCTGAATAACTAGGTTTCTTGGAGTTGCTGCTTTATCTGACCTCCAGGATCCAGCAGATCTGCAGCTCCCTTTCCCAGGCTCTTCTTGCCTGGCTCCAGCCTTCTGTGTATTTGTTGCCCTGAAGTTCTTCCAGGATTTCCTTACCCCACTTTTTTTTTTTTTTTTTTGTCTTTTGTGCCATTACTGAAACTTGAACTCAGGGCCTTGAGCTCTCGCTCACCTTTCATGTTCTAGAGCCATACCTCCACTTCACTCTTTAGGATATTAATTGGAGATAAGAGTCTCATAGATGTGTCTGTCTGGGTTGGCTTTGAGCTGTGGTGCTCAGCTAGGATTATAGGCATAAGCTGCTTTATCCTCTTTTGGGTGTGTGTGTGTGTGTGTGTGTGTGTGTGTGTGTGTGTGTGTGTGTGTGTGTGTGTGTGTGTGTGTGTGTGTGTGTGTGTGTGTGTGTGTGTGTGTGTGTGTGTGTGTGTGTGTGTGTGTGTGTGTGTGTGTGTGTGTACCAGTTCTCCAGTCCTAGGGCTTGAACCTCAAGGTCTAGGTTCTGTTCCTGAGCTTTTGTGCTCAAAGCTACCATTCTACCCCTTCAGCCACAGCTCCGCTTGCAGCTTTTTTTGATGGTTACTTTTTTCACAGGCTTTGCTGCCTGGACACGCTTCAAACTATAATCCTCATGTCTCAGCCTCCTGAGTAGTGAAGGATTACAGGCATGAGCCACCAGTTCCTGTCCTGGCTAATTTTGTTTGTTGTTCTTGTTGACAGTCCTGGGGCTTGAACTCTGTGCCTGGGCTCTGTCCCTGAGCTTTCTTTTTCTAAAGGCAAGCACTCTACCACTTGAGCTACAGTGGAACTGAAGAATTGAACTCAGGCCTTCATGAATGCCAGGCAAAGACTACCACCAAGCCATATTCTCAGCCCCCGGCTAATATTTAAAATGAGATTTTATTGTTGTTATTAGATGTTGTGTAGAGGAGTTACATTTCAGAATTGAGGGAATGTGTGCATTTTTTTTCTGGGCAGTGTCGCCCCTTGCTTGGCTTTCCAGTTTTGGTTGTTGTTTTTCTGTGGTGGCTCTGGGGCTTGAACTCAAGGCCTCACCGCTCGCTGCTGGCACGCTACCACTTGAGTCCTACCTCTAGTTTCACCTTTTTGCGGTTAACTGGAAATAAGAGTCTGGAGGATTTGCCTGCTTCTGTTGGCTTTAAACTTTGATCCTTAGACCTCAACCTCTTGAATAGCTAGGATTATAGGTATGAACCACCAGGATTTGACTTGGCTTACCTTTTATAAAAGTTTTTTTGTGTGCCAGGCCTAGGGCTTGACTCAGAGTCTGGGCTCTGTCGCTGAGCTTTTTTTTTTTTTTGGTCGGTTGTGGGGCTTGAACTCAGGGCCTGGATATTGTCCCTGAGCTCTTCAGCTCAAGGCTAGTGCTCTACCCCTTGAGCCAAATCACCACTTCCTGTCCTTGAGCTCTTTTGCTCAGTACTAGGGCTCTATCACTTGAGCCATAGCTCCAGTTCTGGCATTTTGGTTGTTAGTTAGAGTTAAGCGTCTCGTGGACTTTCCTGTCTGGCCTTGATTCTCAGATCTTGCCTCCTGAATAGCTCCGATTACAGGCCTGAGTCCCCAGCCAGTGTGTCTGTTAACATACTCCTCAGGCACACAGCTCACATTGCGGCTGACACACTCACCCTTACGCTAGTTGTCTTCCCTGTGTGACACTTGGCTATTTGATCCTTTATATATGTGATTTCTTGTTCTTTCCTATTATGAAACTCTTGATGTGTTCTCTTTATTTCCAGTTTTAAGTTTCATGGTAACATGCTGTGGTGTGGGAGAATGCTTTATATATTGGGCCTTTGCCAGATTGGAAACTCTGTTGTTTGTAGTTTGTTGGTGCAGTGTCTTGGGAAAGGGGAAACCTGTGAAATAAGGCATCCATTCAGAAACCAGCATCCAGCATTTACAGATGGGTTAGCAGATGCCTTTAAGTGAAACTTCTGTTCCACCTATCAGATGGAGATATTGTGTCCTGTGCCTGGAGGCCCATGAGTCCTTTCTAGTCCCTCATGTCCTTGCTGCTCTTTGGTGGCAAATCCCCACCTACAACTGTACTTGTCCCTCCTCAACAAGAAGCTGAGTTGGGTCTGTCTCTGATGGTGTTAATCTGAGCATGCAGCATGCTTTCCCGGGCTTGTGTTTTCATCCATTGTCACCTTTTATGGGATTGCACACATGGATGTGTGTGTGGCTGAATGTATCTGTGCTCTTATTGTGGATTAGATGTGTAGTTGTCTCCTGGTACCTGAGAGCCTATGTCTTTGGGGCACATGACCAAGGGTGGTGTGCCAGATCCTAGGCAAGATGATCATACAGCGAATCATCCAAGAGGGCAGTGAGCACTTGCTAACAACTCCAGTGGGACCTGCTCTGGGAAAGCTACCAGGCATAAGGCACACTCCACCGCTTGGCTGGTGTTGGTCCACCTTTTTTTTTCTTGCCAGTCCTGGGGCTTGAAATCGGCCTGGGCACTATCTCTAAGCTTGTTTTGCTCAAGGCTCACACTCTACCACTTGAGCCACAGTGCCACTTCCAGTTTAGTGGTACTGAGGTACTGAGGAATGTGGTACTGTGAAATTGAACCCAGGGCTTCATGCACGCTAGCCAAGCACTCTACCACTGAGCCACAGTCCCAGCCCATGGTCCACCTTTTGTTCAGCACTTAGGTGATGTCAGATTTGCTGTCAGTCTGGTGATATGCAGTGCACCTTGGTACAGGGCTAGTTTCTCACCCATTTCCACCAGATAAGAAAGCAGAGATTGACATCTTGGCTGCAGAGTACATCTCCACAGTGAAGACCCTTTCTTCTGATCAGCGAGTAGAGCACCTGCAGAAGATTCAGAGTGCATACAACAAGTGCAAAGAGTACAGTGATGACAAGGTTCAGCTGGCCATGCAGACCTACGAGATGGTGAGGAGGGGCCGGGAGGTCAGGGGGTCCTGTCTGAGATGGTGGGGTCAGGGAGCAGGGGGTCCTGTCTGAGATGGTGAGGAGGGGTCAGGGGTCCTGTCTGAGATGGTGAGGAGGGGTCAGGGGTCCTGTCTGAGATGGTGAGGAGGGGTCAGGGATTCTGTCTGAGATGGTGAGGAGGGGTCAGGGGTCCTGTCTGAGATGGAGGGGTCAGGGGTCCTGTCTGAGATGGTGAGGAGGGGTCAGGGATTCTGTCTGAGATGGTGAGGAGGGGTCAGGGATTCTGTCTGAGATGGTGAGGAGGGGTCAGGGATTCTGTCTGAGATGGTGAGGAGGGGTCAGGGATTCTGTCTGAGATGGTGAGGAGGGGTCATGGGTTCTGTCTGAGATGGAGGGGTCAGGGGTCCTGTCTGAGATGGTGAGGAGGGGTCAGGGGTCCTGTCTGAGATGGAGGGGTCAGGGGTCCTGTCTGAGATGGAGGGGTCAGGGGTCCTGTCTGAGATGGTGAGGAGGGGTCAGGGGTCCTGTCTGAGATGGTGAGGAGGGGTCAGGGGTCCTGTCTGAGATGGTGAGGAGGGGTCAGGGGTCCTGTCTGAGATGGTGAGGAGGGGTCAGGGGTCCTGTCTGAGATGGTGAGGAGGGGTCAGGGATTCTGTCTGAGATGGTGAGGAGGGGTCAGGGGTCCTGTCTGAGATGGAGGGGTCAGGGGTCCTGTCTGAGATGGAGGGGTCAGGGGTCCTGTCTGAGATGGTGAGGAGGGGTCAGGGGTCCTGTCTGAGATGGTGAGGAGGGGTCAGGGGTCCTGTCTGAGATGGTGAGGAGGGGTCAGGGGTCCTGTCTGAGATGGTGAGGAGGGGTCAGGGGTCCTGTCTGAGATGGTGAGGAGGGGTCGGGGTCCTGTCTGAGATGGTGAGGAGGGGTCAGGGGTCCTGTCTGAGATGGTGAGGAGGGGTCAGGGGTCCTGTCTGAGATGGTGAGGAGGGGTCAGGGGTCCTGTCTGAGATGGTGAGGAGGGGTCAGGGGTCCTGTCTGAGATGGTGAGGGGGGGTCAGGGATTCTGTCTGAGATGGTGATGGGGGGTCAGGGGTCCTGTCTGAGATGGAGGGGTCAGGGGTTCTGTCTGAGATGGTGAGGAGGGGTCAGGGGTCCTGTCTGAGATGGAGGGGTCAGGGATTCTGTCTGAGATGGTGAGGAGGGGTCAGGGGTCCTGTCTGAGATGGAGGGGTCAGGGGTCCTGTCTGAGATGGAGGGGTCAGGGGTCCTGTCTGAGATGGTGAGGAGGGGTCAGGGGTCCTGTCTGAGATGGTGAGGAGGGGTCAGGGATTCTGTCTGAGATGGTGAGGAGGGGTCAGGGATTCTGTCTGAGATGGAGGGGTCAGGGATTCTGTCTGAGATGGTGAGGAGGGGTCAGGGGTCCTGTCTGAGATGGAGGGGTCAGGGGTCCTGTCTGAGATGGTGAGGAGGGGTCAGGGATTCTGTCTGAGATGGTGAGGAGGGGTCAGGGGTCCTGTCTGAGATGGTGAGGAGGGGTCAGGGGTCCTGTCTGAGATGGTGAGGAGGGGTCAGGGGTTCTGTCTGAGATGGTGAGGAGGGGTCAGGGATTCTGTCTGAGATGGTGAGGAGGGGTCAGGGGTCCTGTCTGAGATGGTGAGGAGGGGTCAGGGGTCCTGTCTGAGATGGAGGGGTCAGGGGTCCTGTCTGAGATGGTGAGGAGGGGTCAGGGGTCCTGTCTGAGATGGAGGGGTCAGGGGTCCTGTCTGAGATGGTGAGGAGGGGTCATGGGTTCTGTCTGAGATGGTGAGGAGGGGTCAGGGGTCCTGTCTGAGATGGTGAGGAGGGGTCAGGGGTCCTGTCTGAGATGGAGGGGTCAGGGGTCCTGTCTGAGATGGTGAGGAGGGGTCAGGGGTCCTGTCTGAGATGGTGAGGAGGGGTCAGGGGTCCTGTCTGAGATGGTGAGGAGGGGTCAGGGGTCCTGTCTGAGATGGTGAGGAGGGGTCAGGGGTCCTGTCTGAGATGGAGGGGTCATGGGTTCTGTCTGAGATGGTGAGGAGGGGTCAGGGGTTCTGTCTGAGATGGTGAGGAGGGGTCAGGGGTTCTGTCTGAGATGGTGAGGAGGGGTCAGGGGTCCTGTCTGAGATGGTGAGGAGGGGTCAGGGGTCCTGTCTGAGATGGTGAGGAGGGGTCAGGGGTCCTGTCTGAGATGGTGAGGAGGGGTCAGGGGTCCTGTCTGAGATGGTGAGGAGGGGTCAGGGGTCCTGTCTGAGATGGTGAGGAGGGGTCAGGGGTCCTGTCTGAGATGGTGAGGAGGGGTCAGGGATTCTGTCTGAGATGGTGAGGAGGGGTCAGGGGTTCTGTCTGAGATGGTGAGGAGGGGTCAGGGGTTCTGTCTGAGATGGAGGGGTCAGGGGTCCTGTCTGAGATGGTGAGGGGGGTGGGGTAGGGTGCTCATCTGAGATGGTAGGGGCAGGCTCCAGGGAAAGCTTCCCAGCAGGGAAAAGCCACAGCACCTGGGAGCTGTCATATGAGACTCACATAGTTTTGTTTCTGGGCCTTTTTGTTTATTGGTAGGGGAGCTATTGCAAGTTTTGGGTTTTTTGTTTGTTTGTTTGGTTTTCTTTTGGCTAGTCCTGGTGCTTGCACTCGATGACTGGGCACTGTCCCTGAGCGTCTTTTGCTGAAGGCTAGCACTCTACCACTTGAGCCACAACACCACTTCTGGCTTTCTGTGTATGTGGTACTGAGGACTTGAACCCAGGTCTTCATGCATACTAGGCAAGCACTGTACCACTAAGCTACATTCCCAGCCCATTTTTTGTTTTTAATTTAGTGCTAGGATTAAACCCAGGGTCTCAAACTTGCTGGGCAAGCACTCTACCATTGAGCTCCCAGCTCTTGCAATTTTTTTGGGTGGGGGTCTGGTCGTGGGGCCTGAATTCTGGGCCTGGGCGCTGTCCCTCAGCTCTTAAGCTCAAGGCTAGTGCTCTATCACTTGAGCCACAGTGCCACTTCGGGCTTTTTTGTTTTTGCTTATGTGTGCTGAGGAATCGAACCCAGGGTCTCATGAATGCAAGGCAAGCGCTCTACCACTGAGCCACCTTCCCAGCCCCCAGCTCTTGCATTTATTTAGTTATTTATTTACAGTACTGGGACTGGACTCAGGGTTTTATGTTGGCTAACCTGGTGCTTTTCCAGATTTTGTGAATTAAATGATTAACTGGGACTTGGATTCAGGCCTCACACTCTTGTTTGACGTTTCTACTCAAAGCTGCAATGTGCCACTCGAGTCACATCTATGTCTATTGCTTTTATTTTAAGCTTTGGTGGTACTGTGATTATTGAACTCAGCCTTGCACTTGCTAAGCATGCGCTCTTCTCCTTGGACCACACCCTTTCTTTTGGCTAGTCTTGTGATTTGGCCTTGGGCTGGCCTGGACTATGATCCTACTGTCCATATCTGTGTACCCAAAATTATAGACCATTACACTTGTCTTACTGGTTGATATGGAGTCTTGCTAATAACTGTTGCCTATGCTTAATTTGACCAAGATTCTCGTTGATATTTGCCTCCTGAGTAGCTGGGGTTTACAGACATGTGCCCCCAGACATGGCCCCGATTTTTAAGAAAGGTCCTTTTGCAGGTGGACAAACACATCCGAAGGCTTGATGCTGACCTGGCACGCTTCGAGGCCGACCTGAAGGACAAGATGGACGGCAGCGACTTGGAAAGCGCTGGAGGACGAGGACTGAAAAGCAAGTCTGCTGGTGTTCTCTTTGTTTTATTACTCTGGGACTTGGAAGAATTTTGTCGAAAAGTGGTAGGCACTTAATGAGTCTTGTCCTGCTTCATTCATTCCTGGGAAAATAATGTGGGACTTTATTGTTTTTCAGAAGGTCGGAGTCAGAAAGAAAAAAGAAGTTCCCGCGGTCGAGGCCGGAGGACGTCAGAAGAAGACACCCCAAAGAAAAAGAAGCACAAGGGCGGGTAAGGCGCTCTCTGCATTTATGGAGGACGCAGTGTCCTGTTCTCCAGGAAGAGAACCCCAGGGAACAGCCTCCCGTTCAGGGACTTCTGGCTCTGATGACTCTGCAGGTGCTGAGCAGAGTTCTGCTCACAGTGACCCTTGAGCAGCACCGGGGCTGCCAGCATGCCTGAACCCCTGGTTCACACAGCATGCCTGAACCCCTTGGCACACAGCAGTGACTCGGTCTTAGCCCTTGTGTGCTGCACTCAGTAACCAGAGAATACTGAGTGCGTGCTGATGGTGCCATGTCAGCTCTTCCTAAGGAGGCTGACTATGGCTGACTTGGTATCTATTCCTTGTCTTAGTTTGCGTGCGTGCGTGCGTGTGTGTGTGTGTGTGTGTGTGTGTGTGTTGTTGTTGTTTTGGTTTTGGTGCTAAGCTTGAACCCAGGGCCTAGCACTGTCATGTAGCTTTTGTCTCAAAGCTGGCACTCTGCCCCTTGAGCCACATCTCCCCTTCCGGCTTGTTGCTGGTTAATTGGAATTGAGAGTATTTTAGGTTTGTCTGCTCAGATCTCAGCCTCCTGAGGAGCTAGGATTATAGGCACGAGTCAGTCTTTGGTGCTCAACTGTTCATCGTCTTAGAAATATATTTGTAGCATGTATTCAGACTACATTACATCTGTTGTATATACATGTCATTTATCTTTTTTTGTGTGTGCTGGTCTTGGGGCTTGAACTTGGCCTGGGCACTAACCCTGAGCTTTTTAAAAAGCTCAAGGCTAGTGCTCTACCACTTGAACTATACCTCTACTTCCAGCTTTTTGGTGGTTCATTGAAGATAAGAGTTTTGGGGACTTTCCTGCCCAAGCTGGCTTTGAGCCTTAATCCTCAGATCTCAGCTCCTGAGTAGTTCGGATTACAGGCCTGAGCCTCTGGTGTTCAGCAGTGTTCTTTGTCTGGAACTTCAGGTTATTGTCTTGCTGGCCCCCTCCTTCACAGGTCCTGTGCTGCTTTGTGAGGTGAAAATGGTTCTAGCAGTTCTGGGAGAGGTCCAAATAGTCTTATTGACAAAAGGAGGGAGAAATCCTGATGTTTATTTATTTTTGGTCAGTCCTGGGGCTTGAACTCAGGGCCTGGGCACTCTCCCTGAGCTTCTTTTGCTTAAGGCTAGCACTCTATCACTTGACCACTTGAGCCACACCACTTCTAGCCTTTTCTGCTGATGTGGTACTGAGGAATCGAACCCAGGGCTTCATTCATGCTAGGCAAGCGCTCTACCACTAAGCCACATTCCTAGCCCTAATTTTTTTTTTAATGATGGACTCCAGGGCCTTGCATATGTTAAGTGTGTACTGTACTACTGATCTTAAAAAAGATTTTGGCTGGGTGCCGATGGCTTGAGCCTATAATCCTAGCAGCTTGAAGCCAACCCAAGCAGAAAGGTCCCATTAGACTCTTAATCTCCAACTAAACATTCCCCCCACTCCCCTCCCACCCCCCAACCCCCCGCCACGCACATGACCAGCCCTTCTGTAGTGGGTGTTCTGCCCACGTGTGCTTTCCCAGGTGCGTTTCCTAGACCTTTTTAGTCTTGCGAGTTTTAACCTTTGTTTTTCCACACCTCACCATTCTATTCCTTCCTCTTTCCTTTCAAGATGGATTTTGCTGTGTTGCAGCCTCAAATACCTGAGTTTGTGCATGCTGCTCTACCTAACTTTTATATTTAATTGTTTTTGTTTAGTTTTTATGGTGCTGGGCATTGAACCTGGGGCTTTAGGGAAGGCTATGTAATCTTTGCCACTTTTCTGTTTGAGGACCCAGATGAGATGGCTTGAGTTTCTGGAGGGAGCTGTGCCCATGAAGCAGAGCTATGGTGCGCTTCTTCACAGAGTCTTGTGCCCCCTGCTTCCTTCCTATTCTATTCAGAATCCCACTTTTGCATCTGCACAGCTCTCCTTCTCTGCTCAGTGGAATTCCAGTGTGATTTTGGGAGTGTGCGGTTTCACATGTGCCTGCAAAGCTGAGCGCATACTTCATCACAGACTACACGGCCTGATGATGATGCTATAGGCTGGGGATGCCTGTTTGTGCTGTGGTCTGTGCTTCAGGCTGTGGATAGGGGAGCAGGTTGGGGGGGGTGGTCATGGCGTAGCTGGGGTTTCTAGTTTTAGAACACCCATTACATTCCTTTCCTCTTTTTTTTTTTTTTAATAGCTTTTGGTTATTTTTTTGCAAATTACCCACATTTGTGAGCATTTCATTTATGTTTCTCAAACATTTATGGTAGCTCTTTAAAGTGCTCTTCTGCAAATCTAACATCTAATATCAGTGTCTACCTATGTAGACCAGTTCCTTGTTTTTGATTTTTTTCTCTTGATTTGAGTCCTCTTTTCCTGCTTGTTTCAGGTCTTAGGGTTTTTATTTTTGTGTTGGTACCAGTCTTGGAGCTTGAACTCAGGGTCTTGACACTCAAGGCTGGACCTCTACCACTTGAGCCACAGCTTCACTTTTGGATTATTTTATGTATTTTTTTTTTTTTGCAGTTAATTAGAGATAAGAATCTCCTGGACTTTCCAGCCTGGGTTGTCTTCAAACTGTGATCCTCGGCTCTCAGCCTGCTGAGTAGCCAGGATTACAGGTGTGAGCCACTGGTGCCTGGCAGTCTTCTGTCCCATGTTAGCTATAGAAGGTGTGCGTACTGAACTTCTGTTTTTCCTCAGGGTGCAGTTCTCTTCTCTAGTCCAGGCAGACTGAACTGGTGGTGGGTGGCACCGGCAGGAGACCCGACAGTGTCACATGGGGCCTCCTGGCTGTGGGCCGACAGCACAGGGAGCCTCAGACTTGCCCTCCCCGAGGCTGCCTGCCTTACTCCCACTGCTTCCCAGGTCTCCAGCGGCCTGGCCCAGCAGTGCAAATGGTCTCTGTCTCCCAGAGTCTGTGAAGACCTGGCCACAGACTGGTTTGGAGGTAGCTTTGGAGGGCCTCCAGCTCCACCAGGCCGGGAGCCAAGCAGATTTCCTTCTTGGCTGCAGGGCACAAGGCACTCACCGTGTTGCCCCAGTGCTTCTGAGGTTTGCTGAGCAGGCTGGGAAGGTGGCTCAGTGGTGGAGTGCATGAAGCCCTGGGTTCCGATCCTCCATATCACATACACAGAAAAAGCTAAAAGTGGCGCTGTGGCTCAAGTGGTAGAGTGCTAGCTTTGAGTAAAAGGACACTGCCCCGGCCCTGAGTTCAAGCCCCAGGACTGTTTAAAAAGAAAAAGAAAAAAGTTTGCTGAGCTGTGCTATCCTGATTCAGCACACCGAATCTCTGCTTCCTCCTGCCCAGAATCCAAAGGCTATCATGGCCTCCGGGGCTTGTGGCCTCCTTGCACATTTCTTCCTCAGAGCATGTGTGGCTCTGGGATCCCATTTGCCAGCCTCCAGATGGTGGGAGACCCAGGCTGCCTCTCAGACATACAGCTTGGCATTGGCAGTGTGGCCCCTCTCCCAGTGTGAATTGAGGTCTTCCGCCTGGTGTTCACAGCAGCCTACTAGTGGGCGATGGTGGCGTGGTCCCTGGTTCAGGCCTGTGCTAAGCTGATGTCAGCAGCCGCGGTGGGGCTGGTCCATGGTGAGGGTACCTGCTGTGGGCTGGCTGCGTCCAGTGTTTATGTGTGGGTCGCTCTCTTCTCCCTGGCTCTCAGTGGCAGCAACGTTCCTGTTATTTTATAGACCTCCAGGCAGGCCACTGCAGTGCACTCTTCTGGGCACCCTTCAGAGAAGGCATCAGGAAAGACAGCCAAACGGTGACAAACCCCACTCTTACCAGGACTTAGTGGGGCCCGCCCATCATTGGCCTGGTGTTCTGCCCATGTTCTCTAGAGCTCTGTGTACAGGGGAGTTCATCGGCTGGCATAGGTGGTGCTGCAGTCTGCAGGGTCTGTTCCCAGGGCATCTCGCAGGATGCTCAGCCAGCACCTGGCCCAGGCTGTCCCCAGGCCTCTCGGGTGTTGTTTCCTGTGAGACCCCGTGAGCCGAGGCTGTCCCCAGACCTCTCGGGTGTTGTTTCCTGTGAGACCCCGTGAGCCGAGGCTGTCCCCAGGCCTCTCGGGTGCTGTTTCCTGTGTGTGAGACCCTGTGAGCCGAGGCTGTCCCCAGGCCTCTCGGGTGTTTCCTGTGTGTGAGACCCTGTGAGCCGAGGCTGTCCCCAGGCCTCTCGGGTGTTTCCTGTGTGTGAGACCCTGTGAGCCGAGGCTGTCCCCAGGCCTCTCGGGTGTTTCCCGTGTGTGAGACCCCGTGAGCCGAGGCTGTCCCCAGGCCTCTCGGGTGTTGTTTCCTGTGAGACCCCGTGAGCCGAGGCTGTCCCCAGGCCTCTCGGGTGCTGTTTCCTGTGTGTGAGACCCTGTGAGCCGAGGCTGTCCCCAGGCCTCTCGGGTGTTTCCTGTGTGTGAGACCCCGTGAGCCGAGGCTGTCCCCAGGCCTCTCGGGTGTTTCCCGTCTGTGAGACCCCGTGAGCCGAGGCTGTCCCCAGGCCTCTCGGGTGTTTCCTGTCTGTGAGACCCCGTGAGCCGAGGCTGTCCCCAGGCCTCTCGGGTGTTTCCCGTCTGTGAGACCCCGTGAGCCGAGGCTGTCCCCAGGCCTCTCGGGTGTTTCCCGTCTGTGAGACCCTGTGAGGAGAGCCTGTCCCCAGGCCTCTGAGCTGCTGTTTCTTGACTGAGACTCTGCAGCTGAGGTTGCTGCCCATAAGGTAGGACCTAGATGTAGGAATGAAGGAGGCCACCAGGAGCTTTGGGAATTAAGAAGTGGCACTGTGGCTCAAGCAAGGGGTAGAGCTGAAGAGCTCAGGGACAGCACCCAGGCCCAGAGTTCATGCCCCATAACTGACCAAAAAAAAAGGAAAAGAAGAGAGAAAAAAGAGGAGCTTTGGGAATTAGACCTGGGTCCTCTTTCTGGTTCAGTCTGTCTTTGGGACAAGGGCCAGTGAATTGGCAGGCAAATTCTAAGAGCTTGGATCGCCTAGCCCTGTCTGAGGAATAGGTGCTGCCCAGGGGTCTCCGGCTGGGGGGCCCCTCAGCCTGTTTTGCTGTCGTCTCCTGTGTGCACCCCCCTTCTGGCTGACGCCCTTGAATCCCGGAATTCTGAGCACGGGTCGCCAGGCAGCACATGGCAGGGAGGAAGCACACCACAGGGTGTTGGAGGGCCTGCCTCCTGGGAGGTTCCAAGACCATGGAGCTAGGAGGCCTTCCACAGCGGGAGCAGACAGAGGCCCACCCGGAGGACCCTGAGGACTTGCTTGATGAGGGCAGTGTTAGCACTCAGGTTTCAAATGTGGTACAGACACGGGGTAGAGAGCTGGTGACCTGCAGGGGTCCTGGTGTGCCCTGGGCCTGAATGGATATGTACATTACACACACATGCAACTGAACAGCCTGGGAGCATTTGGAAAAGAATGCAGAGGAGAGAGTGGCTCACCTCCGTCTTCTTCCCCGGGCCGCTCCTGTGCCTGGCCTTCTCTGCTGTAGCCTCATCGGAACTTACCGTATGGTTTGGCAATGTGTATTTGTGGGTTTGCGGGTGGGGTGAGGACTGGACTGTCTAGACCTCCCTACAGCTCGCACACATACCTGAGAACACAGGCAAAGAGGAAGCTGCCCATGGGCAAAGCCCTTGCAGCTCCAGAGTGTGGTATGTGACTGGGTACGGGGAAAGCAGGCAGGAGGGAGCCTGAGCAGGTAAGCTTGCCACAGACAGCTGCTAGAAAGTTAGACGGCAGCTGTGAGGATCGTTGGTGGTGGCTCCTGAGGTAGGTGAGTAGCGGGTGGGTCGATAGCATCCTGGGAGTGAGGGCCCACAGGAAGCGAGAGGAGCTGCCTGGGTGTGGTATTGGGAAGGTGCCTGTGCAGATGCAAAGTGGTCTGGGCACAGGACATGCTGGCCTTGTGGCAAGGACTGTCTGCTCAGGCTCAGGTACAGGTGGCAATGCCCCGACCCCTGGTCAGCCTGTGGGTGGACACAGGCAAGTTTTTCCTCAAATGCCAGTTGGTATGCTAGCCAAGGAGGGCTAGTGCAGAGGGGAAGGGCCTGGGGCCACCGACAGCACCATGGCCTGGAGGCTCCTTTGCCCTGCACCGGCACTGGCAGGGCCATGCCACAGCCTCTGGGCGCTGTGTCCTTGACTCCCTTGTGACTTGGCGAGTGGGGGCCGTAGCCTCCCCCTCTGGTGCGCCGTTCACCCCCACTGTCCCAGCTTTTACGGTCGGTGATGATCCGAGGGAACTGTCTTAACCATTTGCTCACGTTCTTACACATTTTTTTCCTGTTTTCAAGAGTGTTGTGCAGTCAGAGGGGTTTTGTGACTTTTGTTGTGAAAGTGCATCTCAGAAACAAACACTGGAAATTTCTTCAGGCTCAAGTGTCAATCAGGAGATGCCAATCAGGAGATGGCAGTCAGTTGGTTCACCTGGACTAGTCCACAGAACCTGTTTAGATTTCCTGCTTGGAGCCTTATTTGTCTTCAGACATAGCAAAAGGGAGCCTTGGGCCCACACACACAGGAGGCCCTGGGCTCGTGCCTGGTCCGTCATGCCTGCCTCTCGTCACCCTGTGTTCAGCATGCCCTTCCCACCCTCAGGTCTGAGTTCACCGACACCGTCCTGTCTGTGCACCCCTCTGACGTCCTGGACATGCCCGTGGACCCAAACGAACCTACGTACTGCCTGTGCCACCAGGTGTCCTACGGGGAGATGATTGGCTGTGACAACCCAGATGTGAGTGTCTGGGTCTCGGGACAGATGTTGCGGGGTGGGAGTGGGGTGTAGCTCCCTGTCTTCAGCATGCAGAGTGACTGAGGCTCTCTTCTTTTTTCAGTGTCCAATTGAGTGGTTTCACTTTGCCTGTGTGGACCTCACCACGAAGCCCAAAGGAAAGTGGTCAGTATGTGGGTACCTGTTTTGCTTGTGTCCTTGCTCTTAAGGGCGTGGAGCTGGGTTGGCTTCCCCTGCAGCCTTGGGTGAGCCTGTCTAGCCTGGAGCTGGGCTGGCTTCCCCCTGCAGCCTGTCTGCCTCTCACCTCTGCTGTGTAGTCCCACTATTGCTGCAGTTCCCGTCCTAGCTAGTAGGGGTGGGGCAAACTTATAGGGACATCTGCCACCCAGCTCCCCTAGAGACATGTTGTTAAATTTTTGTGTTTATACTACTGTTCCCTAAAGAAGGGCTGTTCTGGCTTCTTTTAGTGGAAGTGCTGGGCATGGAATTCTGCCAGGGCATCGTGTCCTCTAGGCAGGTGCTCTACTGCTAAGACATATCCCATCCTCTTGAACTCTGGGCCTGGCGCTGTCTCTGAGCTCTTCAGCTCAAGGCAAGTGCTTTACCACTTGAGCTACAGCACCACTTCCGGTTTTCTGGTGGTTTATTGGAGATAAAAGTCTCACGGACTTTCCTGCCTGGGCTGGCTTTGAACGGCGATCCTCAGATCTCAGCCTCCTAAGTAGCTAGGATTACAGGCATGAGCCACCGGCGCCCGGCTATTAAATAAAATCTTGGTTTTGTTGATTTGCACTAAAAGTGGATGCATGTTCTTAAACTGAAAGAGCAGGAATCCTACCCTCTTTATATAGTGACACACAGAGCCAGTCTTGTAAAGTCTGCTTGCTGTGCAGACAGACAGAAATTTCTGCAGGACAGTCTGTGGTCAGTGAGGGTGAGTTTTCCTTTGGTATTGGTGCAAGGCTCACAGAGGGAAAGGAGGGCTCCCAGGGCACCTGCCGATGTGTATGCCCACCGATGAGTATGGTGAACGCCAGGATGCACCCTGGTGCTCTGCCTCATGCATGGTCGGGACAGATGGCAGGGCTCCCAGGGCACCCACCGATGTGTGTGCCCACCGATGTGTATAGTGAGCGCCAGGATGCACCCTGGCGCTCTGCCTATGGCAGGGCTGTGGGAGGGTCTGTCAGCAGCCACCTTCCCATAGGGCCCTGCTTCTGATGGGTGACAGCTCTGAGCTGAGGAAAGGGACACAGAGGAAAGAGCAGACCTGTATGCCGGGGCCAGGGCACAAGGCAGGGAGAGCGGATTCTGAGTTTGATTTGAACAAAGTGGTCCGTCGTGGTGCTTGAACTCTGGGCCTGAGCGCTGTCCCTCAGCTCTTCAGCTGAAGGCTAGCACTCTACCACTTGAGCCACAGCGCCACTTCTGTTTTCTGAGTGGTTTATTGGAGATGAGTCTCATGGGCTTTCCTGCTTGGGCTGGCTTTGAACCACCATCCTCAGATCTCAGCCTCCTGAGTAGCTAGGATGACATGCATGAGCCACTGGTGCCCGGTTACAAAATAAGTTTTTTACAGGACTTCCAGGTAGGAAAGTCTTAACAGCAGTAGGAAGGTGGGTCTGACTGTGAGAGCCTATAAGCCTGTCAGTGGCACAGTGTTGGATGTAGCACTAGGCAGAGCAGCTGGCTAGACAGAGTGGAGGGCTACTGTGCGTGTGTTGGCTAAGCAGTGAGATCTGGATCTGCTGACTGACACAGTGCTGTGTAGTTCAGGCCTGCTAGCTGACAGGTGCTGTAGTGCGGGCCTGCTGGCTGACAGGTGCTGTAGTGTGGACTTGGTGGCTGACAGGTGCTGTAGTGCAGGCCTGCTGGCTGACAGGTGCTGTAGTGCGGGCCTGCTGGCTGACAGGTGCTGTAGTGTGGACTTGGTGGCTGACAGGTGCTGTAGTGTGGGCCTGCTGGCTGACAGGTGCTGTAGTGCGGGCCTGCTAGCTGACAGGTGCTGTAGTGCGGGCCTGCTGGCTGACAGGTGCTGTAGTGCGGGCCTGCTGGCTGACAGGTGCTGTAGTGTGGACTTGGTGGCTGACAGGTGCTGTAGTGCAGGCCTGCTGGCTGACAGGTGCTGTAGTGCGGGCCTGCTGGCTGACAGGTGCTGTAGTGTGGACTTGGTGGCTGACAGGTGCTGTAGTGTGGGCCTGCTGGCTGACAGGTGCTGTAGTGTGGACTTGGTGGCTGACAGGTGCTGTAGTGTGGACTTGCTGGCTGACAGGTGCTGTAGTGCGGGCCTGCTGGCTGACAGGTGCTGTAGTGCGGGCCTGCTGGCTGACAGGTGCTGTAGTGCGGGCCTGCTGGCTGACAGGTGCTGTAGTGTGGGTCTGCTGGCTGACAGGTGCTGTGGTGTGGACTTGGTGGCTGACAGGTGCTGTGGTGTGGGCCTGCTGGCTGACAGGTGCTGTAGTGTGGGCCTGCTGGCTGACAGGTGCTGTAGTGTGGGCCTGCTGGCTGACAGGTGCTGTAGTGTGGACTTGGTGGCTGACAGGTGCTGTAGTGTGGACTTGCTGGCTGACAGGTGCTGTAGTGCGGGCCTGCTGGCTGACAGGTGCTGTAGTGCGGGCCTGCTGGCTGACAGGTGCTGTAGTGTGGACTTGGTGGCTGACAGGTGCTGTAGTGCGGACCTGCTGGCTGACAGGTGCTGTAGTGTGGGCCTGCTGGCTGACAGGTGCTGTAGTGTGGGCCTGCTGGCTGACAGGTGCTGTAGTGTGGGCCTGCTGGCTGACAGGTGCTGTAGTGTGGGCCTGCTGGCTGACAGGTGCTGTAGTGCGGGCCTGCTGGCTGACAGGTGCTGTAGTGTGGACTTGGTGGCTGACAGGTGCTGTAGTGTGGACTTGCTGGCTGACAGGTGCTGTAGTGTGGGCCTGCTGGCTGACAGGTGCTGTAGTGCGGGCCTGCTGGCTGACAGGTGCTGTAGTGTGGGCCTGCTGGCTGACAGGTGCTGTAGTGTGGACTTGGTGGCTGACAGGTGCTGTGGTGTGGGCCTGCTGGCTGACAGGTGCTGTAGTGTGGGCCTGCTGGCTGACAGGTGCTGTAGTGTGGGCCTGCTGGCTGACAGGTGCTGTAGTGTGGACTTGGTGGCTGACAGGTGCTGTAGTGTGGACTTGGTGGCTGACAGGTGCTGTAGTGTGGACTTGCTGGCTGACAGGTGCTGTAGTGTGGGTCTGCTGGCTGACAGGTGCTGTAGTGCGGGCCTGCTGGCTGACAGGTGCTGTAGTGTGGGCCTGCTGGCTGATAGGTGCTGTAGTGCGGGCCTGCTGGCTGACACGTGCTGTAGTGCGGACTTGGTGGCTGACAGGTGCTGTAGTGCGGGCCTGCTGGCTGACAGGTGCTGTAGTGTGGGCCTGCTGGCTGACAGGTGCTGTAGTGTGGACTTGCTGGCTGACAGGTGCTGTAGTGTGGACTTGCTGGCTGACAGGTGCTGTAGTGTGGGCCTGCTGGCTGACAGGTGCTGTAGTGCGGACTTGGTGGCTGACAGATGCTGTAGTGTGGGCTGTTGCTCCTGCATAGGTACTGGGGGGTTCTTGCTCCAAGCAAGGGTGTACAGAGGAGTATGAAGTTAGTTGTCATGTGCAAGTGAGTACCTCCTGCACACAGAGCCAACTCTACCCTCCTGTGTGTTGTGAGTAGCTGGTGTAGTTCAGGTGTGCCCGCCGCCTGTGCCATTGTCATGCTTCCCGAGAGCTGGGCTTGTGCAGCTCCTGAACCCGATGCTGAGTTCGGGACCTGACAAGCCTACTTACTTGTTTGGCCCTCAGCATGCCCATCCCCCTAGACACCTTCACCATCTAGCTACAGCCCTGTGCTGCAACCCTGTAACCAGCTTTATGCATTCCATCATGAGGCTGTCTGGTGGGCCTCTATGACATCCAAGCACAGACAGATTCTTGTGGCAGCCTTCCCCGGAGGGAAGACCGCGTGGGCTGTGGAGTAGCTGTCTTCATCCTTGTCTTGGGATGGGGGGGGGGGGGGGGGGGGCGTGGTGTCTTGGCTGCTGCAGAAGTGACACAAAGGGCCGATCCCTGTGCCTGCCTTTCTCATCACAGGTTCTGCCCAAGGTGTGTTCAGGAAAAGAGGAAGAAGAAGTAAGGAAGAGACTGCCCAGGTTGAAGAGCAAATTAATATATTCCTTCCTTCATGTTGCAATATTTTCTTTAATTTTAAAACTACCTTATTTCAACTGATACTTCATAACTAATGGCCAGTTATGATTCTGGATATTTTCTAAAACAAGAAACCACCACACCCTGTTTTCACAGATGAGCAGTCTCAGAAGTATTTGCCACAGCGATTATGTACAGACCCCCTATCTCTGGCCGTGGCTGCCTTCAGGCCAGCCTGGGACCATGGGTGGGTGTTTGTGAACTCAGGCTGCCAGGCAGAGTATGTGGTGGAGACATGTTAACCCGGCACACTGCCTCTGTTTTGTGACCAGAATCAGCCTGAGTGTGCACAGCACCAGGAAGACTTTCTGCCGCTCTGTGAGCAGTGATGCCCCAGAGCTTTGCTCTCATCTTGACTCTGGTGGCATGGATTCTTAGACAGGACACCTCTGATGTGTCTGGAAGGGCAGGGCTCCTGCCTTGAGGTGTGCTGCCTTTTAACATGGACTTCCCCGTCTCCTGGAGATTCACCTTCCAGAGGAAACGGCTCTCCATCAGCCTCAGCTGTTAGTTACCACAGTCAGCACTGCCAAGCACGCCTAACCACCGGGCTGAAGTCCGTTTCTCTGGGAATTCCTTACACTTCTACTGTGAAGATGAAATTATTGTAATAGCATGAAGGTCGTAGGTCTGTGTGTCTATGAAGTGAGTCTGTCTACTACGAACTCTGTTTATGTTGCATACCACTAGACCAGCAGCTTATAGCCAAGGGGAATACAATTATGTGACTTGATTTGTGAACTCATGTGCCCAGTATTTCTGGAATGAAGGTAGATAGATATACTTGTTTATTCTGCATTCACCAAATCAATGTTGAACAGTCCTTTTGGTAATAGTTGGAGAAAATACACTTTGCCTGTTGAGATACATTTGTGGCAGTACCTCGTGAGGGGCCTTTGCAGACCCTGCCCTCCTCTAGTGTGCATTGCAAGCCTGGACCATCCTTACACAGGAAAAGAGCTGGGGTGTGGGATTCCCATCCTGAGGAGGGAAGGCTTCCTCTGTGTGCGGAGGGCCCTTTCCATCTGGTGGTCACACTTCTAGTATGCTCCCCTTCCACCTTACAGCTCTTCACTGATAGCCAGAGAGCCCCACAGGTCAGCTCGTGTTTGTGAGGATGAGGACATCAGGGACGCTTTGCCAGTGGCACGGGCACCGTGATTCTCCAGGTCTGTTCCTGGGTGGTCGGTCAGGGCTGACAGCCAGCCAGGCGGCCTGTGCTTGTGTCTGCTGTGTGCGTTGGTTAGCGGTGCTGACCCTTCCACAGTGGCCCATGGGCAGCCAGGGCCATCTGTTGCAGTAGCTCATCCATGTTGAGTCCTCCGGGCTTCCCTTAGATGGGCAGATGCTTTCCTGTAGCTCAGAAAGGAAAGGGCCCTGAGGTCAGGGCTGGAGGACCCATCTCATTCTTAGCCATGCATGAAACTGAGATACTTTTTTAAATTCATAAGACCATTTTGTTGACACATATTTCAAGATTAGGGAAAATCAGTGTGAGAACAGGATTTCTCTTTTTTCCTGGTGCTGAGGTCAGACCCATGAGATCTTGTACATGCTTCATTTTTTTTTTTTAAACAGGTGTCCCTTTGTAGTACAGGCTGGCCTCAAAATTCCCATCCTCCTAGCTCAGCCTCCTGAGTGCATGCCCAGCTACTTTGTCATTTTTATAAGCACAGGAAGTTTCTGACCAGACACTGCCTTAGGAACGGAGTCAGTCAGCTTCCTCCTGGGTGTCTCTACCCTGTCATCACTGGGTTGACATGCTATTCATGGGTGGAGGTGTTGGAAGGCTGGTTAAATTTTTGTCTTCAGCTTCCCGAGGCCCAGCCATATTCCCTGAGCCAGGCAAGAGGCTTCTCCATCTCCTACGTGGTGGCGGAACCTCCTCCTGCCACTGTGGATGGACACTGCGGATTGGCTTTTACTTTTGTCAGTTACAATAATGTCCAAACAATATGCGCACACTTGAAAACAGGTTTGGGGATTCAGTAGTAGAGAACTTACCTAGTCATCACCAAAACAACAGAAAACAGGATAAGAAAACATGGATGTCATTTGGTACCTGATAGGACCCCTGTCCTGATTGTCACTACCTTCTGCAAGCAGGAGGCACTTGGGAGAATGGCCACCGTTTGAAAAGGATGTGGCACTGCAGGGACATGGGCGTATGCCACCGGGCCTTTGGCTCACTCCTGGGTCTGACCACCTGTGTTTATGAGGCGTCCAGGCTTAGTGGTGGGGCAGATCCTCCCCGGGGGAGGTGTGCAGCCACCTGCATCTTGTGGACTGAGGGGATTTGAGCCGAACCCTTCATGTCCCATCACTGGCAGCTGCCTTTCCTGTGCCAGGGGTATGCATCGCTTAGCTTGAGGTTCACCAAAGTGCAGAAGTGTCTTTTTCCCTAGAGGGGGGAAAAAAATCAAGTAATTTCCCTTATTTTCAGTATCACATTATCAGTCAGCAGCGAAGGGATTCTTGCAGTTGTCTTGTGGGAAAAACAGTATGATGTATTAAATAAAAAGCTAAACTGAGGGCTGGGAAGGTGGCTCAGTGGTAGAGTGCTTGTCTTGCATGCATGAGGCCCTGGGTTCGATTCCTCAGCACCACACAAGCAAAAAGAAAAAAGCCGGAAGTGGTGCTGTGGCTCAAGTGGTAGAGTGCTAGCCTTGAGCTGAAGAGCTGAGGGACAGCGCCCAGGCCCAGAGTTCAGGCCCCATGACCAGACCCAAAAAAAAAAAAAAAAAAAAGCTAAACTGAGCCTCCAGATCTGTGAATGTGCTAGTGGTTTGTGGCCTAGATCAAACAGTGAGCTGTAGCCGGGCAGTCCTGTCCATCCTGCAGGCTGGGGCCTCTGTGGGCCTGGCAGGTGCATGTAAAACAGCATGAACCAGCCCCCAGCTTGCTGTCTTCCATGCTGGCAGGAAGGCTTGTGGGCAGCGGCAGCCCACCCAGCACCCAGTGCTCCGCCTCCTCACCTGCCCCCGGAACTCTACAGGACCTGCTTTGAGCAATAACTGTCCAGAGAACAGCTTCCTCCTGTGACTGGGGAGCCAAGAGAGCCCTTGCAACACTAAGGGCTTGGAGGCTAGGTCTCATGGTTTGAAATAATGAGGGATGTTTATTTCGTTTTTTAGACTTTTAGCCAGCAGTGAGTTCATTTCCTGTGCTGAGAGTTTAAGGCAGGGGAAGATTAAGAAGCATGTTTTCCCCCGAGCGTCTGGGAAGCGTCTCCTCGATCCGTTGGTGGTTTCTTTCACCACACTCCATCCAAAGGGATGATGCAGCTTTAACGTGAATGTCACATCCTAATTTCAAGGGATTAGTCCCTATGTTCCCTTTGTACAGAAGAGATGTTATTGTAAATCTTTTTATTAAATAATGTAAAGTTGTATATCTGTATTTTTGGATCATGTTATAGATTATGGATATATTGTTTAATAAAGTATTTTTGGAAACAAAAACTTGGAAGTGAATCATTTTGGGAAATAGGTATAGCATTTTGGTGCCGTGCCAGAGGTAACTTTGTCTCCTGTCAACTCTGAACGTATGCTGTGAGCCGGAGTTGGGTGGGCCCTCCTGGCCTGGAACCCTGGGCCTCACGCTGGTGGGTGCTAGGTCCCCCCTGAGCCGTACGTAGCATCACAAATTGGTCAAGGAGGCCGTGTACAAGCACGGGGTCGTCCTGGGCTGCTTCATAGCGCTTGCTTGCTGGACTCAGGAGTGTCAGGACCCCTTGGGAACTGTTCTGGGTGGACTACTGCCACCAAAGCCCTGGACCCGGGGCCTAGCAGCATTGACTTCACAGTGGAGGCGGGAAGCCCAAGGAGGAGGTCCCTGCAGATCCCCGCAGCCGTGGGTTCTGGTGAGGGCTTTGCCTTGCCCGTGGGTGGTGACCAGCTGGGGACCACTCTGCGAATCACTGTTTCCGGCCTGGGCCTGGGCGCCGTCCCCCAGCTCTTCAGCTCAAGGCCAGCGCTCTACCACCGAGCCACAGCGCCACCTCCGGCTCTGCGTCTGGGGTGCTGAGGACTCGAACCGGGGCCTCGTGCACGCGAGGCGAGCGCTCTGCCGCCGAGCCGCCTTCCCAGGCCGCGCGGGCCCGCGGGTCAGGGACGGCCCGGAGCCCCCGCCATCTCCCACCAGGACGGTGCCCAGGCGCCCTCCTCGGCGGGGGCCGCGGGGCCAGAGGACGCGTGCGGCCTGGGCGGCCCTCCGCGGTGCGGGGGGCGCGGGCGTTCACGTCCGCGGCGCGGGGGGCGCGGGGCGTTCGCGTCCGCGGTGCGGGGGCGCGGGGCGTTCGCGTCCGCGGTGCGGGGGCGCGGGGCGTTCGCGTCCGCGGTGCGGGGGCGCGGGGCGTTCGCGTCCGCGGTGCGGGGGCGCGGGCGTTCGCGTCCGCGGTGCGGGGGGCGCGGGGCGTTCGCGTCCGCGGTGCGGGGGCGCGGGCGTTCACGTCCGCCGCGCGGGGGCGCGGGCGTTCACGTCCGCGGTGCGGGGGGCGCGGGGGCGCGGGGGGCGCGGACGTTCACGTCCGCGGTGCGGGGGCGCGGGGCGTTCACGTCCGCGGTGCGGGGGGCGCGGGGGCGCGGGCGTTCACGTCCGCGGTGCGGGGGGCGCGGGCGTTCACGTCCGCGGTGCGGGGGGCGCGGGAGCGCGGGCGTTCACGTCCGCGGTGCGGGGGGTGCGGGAGCGCGGGGCGTTCACGTCCGCGGTGCGGGGGCGCGGGCGTTCACGTCCGCGGTGCGGGGGCGCGGGGAGCGCGGGCGTTCACGTCCGCGGTGCGGGGGGTGCGGGGCGTTCACGTCCGCGGTGCGGGGGGGCGCGGGAGCGCGGGCGTTCACGTCCGCGGTGCGGGGGCGCGGGCGTTCACGTCCGCGGCGCGGGGGGTGCGGGGGCGCGGGTGTTCACGTCCGCGGCGCGGGGGGCGCGGGGCGTTCACGTCCGCGGCGCGGGGGGCGCGGGGCGTTCACGTCCGCGGCGCGGGGGGCGCGGGGCGTTCACGTCCGCGGCGCGGGGGGGCGCGGGCGTTCACGTCCGCGGCGCGGGGGGCGCGGGGGCGTTCACGTCCGCGGTGCGGGGGGTGCGGGGGGCGCGGGGGCGCGGGGCGTTCACGTCCGCGGTGCGGGGGGCGCGGGGGCGCGGGGCGTTCACGTCCGCGGTGCACGCAGCGCCCGCTCCACGCCCCGCGGAACGCCCGCTCCACGCCCCGCGGAACGCTGCGGTCTTCCCCGCTGGAGCCGCGCCGGTGCGGGGCTCGGTGCGGGGCTCGGAGCGGGACGGGACGCCGGGCACGCCGCGCCGAGGTACGGAGCCGAGCGCGGGCGAGCCCGGGAGCGCCGGCCCGGGCCGAGGCGTCCAGGACCAGTCACAGAGCCGGCTCCGCCCGGCCCGCAGGGAAGTGCGCCGCGGGGCGGGACTCACAACCAGCGAGAGACCCGGGGTCCGAGACCCCCGCGGGCTGGGCGGGGGGACGGCTGGGACGGGTCTCCGGGTTAGGACCGGGCCGCAGGGGCGCTGACGCCCTCTTCCTCCAGCCCGGGTCTGAGGCAGCGGACGGGATCGGGCCGGGGGGCGGGCGCAGGGCGGGGCCGAGGGAGGGGCGGGGCCGTGCGCGGGGCGGGGCCGGGACCGAGGGTGGAGGCGGGGCGGGCCGAGGGAGGGGCGGGGCCGAGGGAGGGGCCGGGCGAAGGGCGGGGCCGAGGGAGGGGCGGGGCGGGGCCGGGACCGAGGGTGGAGGCGGGGCGGGCCGAGGGAGGGGCGGGGCCGTGCGCAGGGCGGGGCCGAGGGAGGGGCCGTGCGCGGGGCGGGGCCGAGGGAGGGGCGGGGCCGGCGCCTGCGCGCCTGCGCCTCTTCAGCCTCGGTTTTCTGGGCTGCGGTGGAGGGCCTGCGGTGTCTCTGCGCCGCGGACCGACCTGCGTGCACGTGAGCGCTCGGGCCGGGCCGGGGGCTGGGCTGCGGTTTGGCGGGGCGGAGGAGTCGGGTGCGTCGGCCGGTGTCCGAGCGCGGGCGTGTGCGTGCGGTCGGGGTCGCGTGCGCCCCAGGGCTGAGCCGCCTCACGTGACCGCTCGGCGGACACCCGCCGCGGGCCTGGGCGGCGGCGCGCGGTCACGTGACCGCTGCTGGCGGTCGTTTCTTTTCGCGCCTGCGCGTGGGTCTCGCGGACTCGGGGTGAGGTGCGGGGCCGCGGAGGCGGGACCGAGCCCCAGCCGGCGTCACCCTGCGTTTCAGGCCCCGCGCCATGGTGCTCCGCCCGCTGCCCGCGCGGCTCCTGGCGGCGTGGCCGGGCTGGAGGACGGCCTGCGCCCGCGGAGCCTCCCGGGGACCGACGGGGCCGGGTCGTCCGCGGGCGGGGCCCCGGCCCACCCCGCAGCGCTACCCCGTGGAGCGGCTGCCCTTCTCCACCGTGTCTGCGGACGACCTGGCCGCCTTCGAGCGCACCGTGCCCGGGAGGGTGGTCACCGACCCGGGCGCCCTGGAGGCAGCCAACGTGGACTGGCTGAAGACGGTCCGGGGTGAGTGAGGGGCGCAGGGGGGGGGCCCTGCCCTGGAGGCCAGGCCTCGGGGTGTGACGGGGGGGGGGGCTGCCCTGGAGGCCAGGCCTCGGGGTGTGACGGGGGGGGGCTGCCCTGGAGGCCAGGCCTCGGGGTGTGACGTGGGGGGGCTGCCCTGGAGGCCAGGCCTCGGGGTGTGACGTGGGGGGGGCTGCCCTGGAGGCCAGGCCTCGGGGTGTGACGTGGGGGGGCTGCCCTGGAGGCCAGGCCTCGGGGTGTGACGGGGGGGGGGGGGGGCACTGCCCTGGAGGCCAGGCCTCGGGGTGTGACGGGGGGGGGGGTCTGCCCTGGAGGCCAGGCCTCGGGGTGTGACGGGGGGGGGGGGGCTGCCCTGGACGCCAGGCCTCGGGGTGTGACGGGGGGGGGGCTGCCCTGGAGGCCAGGCCTCGGGGGTGTGACGTGGGGGGGGGCTGCCCTGGAGGCCAGGCCTCGGGGTGTGACGTGGGGGGGCTGCCCTGGAGGCCAGGCCTCGGGGTGTGACGGGGGGGGGGGGTCTGCCCTGGAGGCCAGGCCTCGGGGTGTGACGGGGGGGGGGGGGGGGGGGGGAGCCCTGCCCTGGAGGCCAGGCCTCGGGGTGTGACGGGGGGGGGGTCTGCCCTGGAGGCCAGGCCTCGGGGTGTGACGGGGGGGGGGGGCTGCCCTGGAGGCCAGGCTTCGGGGTGTGACGGGGGGGGGGGGCTGCCCTGGAGGCCAGGCCTCGGGGTGTGACGGGGGGGGGGGGGGGGGCCTGCCCTGGAGGCCAGGCCTCGGGGTGTGACGGGGGGGGGGGGGGGGGGCCTGCCCTGGAGGCCAGGCCTCGGGGTGTGACGGGGGGGGGGGGGGGGGGGGGAGGGGGCTGCCCTGCCCTGCCCTCGAGGCCA